TTTTCCATGATCCAGTGTATGTTGGCAATTTGATCTCTAGTTCCTCTCCCTCTTCGAAACCCTGCCTGTACTTCTGGTAGTTCTCAGTACACATACTGCTGGAGCCTAGCTTGTAGGATTTTGAGCATCACTTTGCTAGCATGTGAAATGAGTGCAATGGTGCGGTAGTTTGAACATTCTTTGGCATTGCCCTTCTTTGGGATCGGAATGTAAACTGACCTTTTCTAATCCTGTGGCCACTGCTGAGTTTTCCAAATTTGCTGGTATATTGAGTGTTCCATTTTATATTTTGTCCTATTTAATTTGTTATCTACTTTGAGAGCACTCCTGGAAATCAAGTACCATTTCTAATAATGAACAGCACATCAGAAGGGATATGCTCTGATTCAATATATTTGCTTTTCACTATTCTATTCTTTAAAACTGGTTGAATCCAGATCTGTTCCTTCTGTGGAGAGAACCAAGTTCCCCCTTGCCTCTGTAACTCATCGCACCAACTCCAGTGTCATTGTCTCTTTCCTGTACCCCAGCAGTCCTAATCCAGATGGCTTTTTTCTCACTCATTAGCAGGAGTGATCAATAAAACTGATGTCCTGAATTGCAAATAATGATAGCTCAGAGTATGGGATGAATATAAGCTGTAGTTGAATCATGGGTTGTTGTTACATGTGAATGCTGCCCTAAGTTTTAGCTATGGATTGTTAACCATGAAAAGCCCAGAGTTTACAACTCAATAATAAACCATGGATTCTCATTCATATTGATACATTTATGACTATCCCAGAAGCAGAATGACTAGCTACATCTCATTTGTTATTTCCAAACATAATTCCTCATGAGATACCACTTAAGTGCCTCCATCTCAACACTTCATTTAGGATGACAAATAGTGATGACTGCAACAGCTCAATATTGGTAAACAGGCAGCTTGGTTATCACAACTTCTTAAAATGCTAACAGGGATTTTTTTCCAACCAAAGTGTTAAAAAGTCAAATTCTTTCACAATTATTGCAGAAGAGATTTAAATGGAAATAATTTAACACACCAAGCAAAGGCTACCAGAAACTTAAACTTACAGAGGCCATAAATCATCCTTCTCCAACCTAATGACCTTCAGGGGTTTCATCAGTGAACAGTGACTAAGCTGGCTGAGGCTGATGGGAAATATAGTCCAAGATATCTAAAGGGCACTAGGTGTGGAAAGAAGACTTAAATCTTGTATTTGCCAATTCTATAGAAATGAGACTGTTGGGAAAAACTGCAAAGATTAGCCAGTAAATGGTCATGATTTGATATCTTTTCACTTACCTTTCAGAAAGTTGCAAAGAAGACCACCAGGAGCTATAAGGCATGATGTTGAAGGTGCGAAAACAGGAATGGAAGATTTCTGACACTGGGACAAAAGAACTGGCAAATAGATATACTTTTTGGGATCACCTGAATCAATATGGAATAATATACGCTAGTTATTAAATGAGCTGCTTTTAAATCATAGCAAATAATAAATGCTGCAGTTTTTATTCTTTTATTTTATTCAGTTTTAATACATTCCAAACTTTAAAACAGGATTTCTGTTGTGCAAACCTAGCTTCCCCACCAGCAAGAGCTATTGTGTATTTTGTTTTTCAGCATGAAATTAACTTGGATTTTCTTCTAGAAGTAATTAAGAACTTGAAGCAACTGAATCTTAAAGTGCATAAAATGTGAAATCAGCAAACTTCTTCCAAGTGATGTTGGATTATCATGGAAATTGTCTGAGCTATTTCCTTCCCAAACCAGAAAAACAACTTGATTAATTTCTGAACTAATCTAAATTCATTAATGTTGTACAGGGGGCAAGGCAGCCTGGACTTCTGTTCAAAGTAACCCTGTGTGCTAAGCAGCAGATGGTTCATTGTGGAATGGGTGAGCTTTTGTTCCCAAGGATTTGGGTAGCCATGAAGCCTGTTTCACATGACTTTATGTGGCTCAAAGTCTGGTTTAAGGGAGAACAAGGACCTTCAAGTTGCCTAACAACATATTTGTCCTCTTTTGTCCTCCTATTTTTTGTGGTGGTACGTAAGTGGATACCCTATTTACCAAGGGAAGTCTTTCAAAGAAGGCTTTCCAAAAGTATATATCAAATCTTCTTCTTCTGTTTGGTTTTTTCATTTAAAGAACTTGGGGTCTATTAATGCTTGCCTTTCCTTTGAAAAAAACAGTACTAAGCCCCAGAAGCTCATTTCCAGGCCTGAGTCCATCCAATTTTTGGCAGCACCTCTACCTGAAATCCTTGCTGATGGACCTTTAAAATTTCAATCTTCTGATGAGCCACATGAGCCTACAGAGTGGAGGGGGAAAGAGACAGTACTTGCAATTTTCTTGTGTCTCCAGAATAGCTATAAATTCTCCCTGACCTGGCTTACCTATACACGTTTTGAGGTTAAGCCTGGGTTGTTGAGGCCTTATTTATTTGGTAAACTGTTTGCTTCCAGCCTGATTGTTTTCCTGCCTCTTGATTTCTAAGATTAAGGCTTCAGACATATAAATATAATCTGGTTCTGCCTGGATACGTACTAATCGTGACCAAGTATGGTTAAAGCTCAAAACAAAATATAGAAAATGTAAAGTCAGAAAAGTTCCTTAAAGAGTCATGTCTCATAAATTACAGTACCTGGGGCCACTGGCTTATCTGCTGCCACAATCTGATGAAGACGACCTATCAGTTGTGAAGCCATCTGAGATGGGTCATGCATCAAAACCTTCTTCGATAATTTGAGGGCTTCACTTAACAAAGTTAAGTCAGGAATCCTACGCAGGAAGGAAAAGGGTCAGCATGTTCTGTTTTTGAAGTTCCTTGCTGTCATATTAATAAAGCACTAGTTGTGTTTTAAGTGATTTTCATGTAGAAATAGTGATGAACTCACTAAGATAAGGCAAGACAAACAGGATGGAAACTAAATTCAGACTATCTTGAATGACATGTAACTAACTTTTTGGAAGACTCTATTTCATATTTGGGAAGCTGTGTTTTATGAAATGCTATTGGACTACCACTCACATCATCCCTGACCATTTTCCATGCTGGCTGGGATTAATGAGAGTTGGTAGCTTACCTGGAGAATGACAGGTTCCTAATTTCTTCCTTATATGAATTTAACTTTGATTTAAAGTGGGTTTTTAAACTTCACTATAGACTATTGTATGATATCCTGAATGATGGCAGGATTATAGATAGACTGAATAAAACAGTGTTCTGTGTGTCTGTGATAGTTTAGACTTTTTCAATTCTGATCTACTGCTTGGAACTCACCTGTCTGCACAGATAGCTGCTCTTAGATCCTCTTCAACACTGATAACTGATGAAGCCCAGGATTTGTTCAAGAGAAACTCATAATTAAAGAGACATTCTTTGATCAGAAGAGTAATATTCTTGGATCTGATGAGATGGTATGGAGTTCCAAAGAGCTTACGAAAGTTAAAGATGTAACTGATCTGGGATTCTCGTTTCAAAATCCAGGCCAGAGGCTGAAATATAGATGGCTCACAGCACTTTCTGAATCCATGGGAAATTCTACCAATGTAATAGTCTGCAAAGAAAGCATGTAGTGCTACCTGGGAATCCTGTGCTTTGAGATATCTCTCCATGCAGACATGTTTCAGAGATTTATGAGCCCAATTAAAAACATAAGTACTGTCTGTTCTTTGTTCTCTCAGGTGCTCTCCAAGGTCATCCAACAGCTTCAACCACAGCACTAGAGGGAATGCTGGAATGGAGGCTTTTTCGAATTTAGCTACTTCTTGAGTGACTGCATCATCCATTGACATAAGGTCCAGCAGCTCTCCCTGAGTTATGCCATTTCTTGAAAGTGACACATAACTTGCCATCCTTCTTACCACTTGTTCCCCATGGGATTTTTCCATTCTGCTCAGTATAAATGAATACATGTCAGGTATGTTTTGAGGAAGACACACCTCCGTCTCTGGGCTGAAAGATGTCCATAAGCAAGACTCCTTATAAGCACAGTGTACATAAAGTGGCAGTGGGCAGGCTGAACATGCTTCCATTAAACCAATGTATTGGTGTTTGGAGAGACATCGGTGATCTTCTTCTAACCAGGAATTTATAATTTCCTTGATTTCATCCAGTGTTAAAGGAGGTATTTGGACTAGGTTCACTTTCTCTGTCATTTTCTGAAATAAATAAGTATATTTCAGTTATCCCATTGTCTCCAAAGGCAAATGAGTTGGTGTCATTTCTGCCAACCAAATACAAGATCACCTGACTGAAATATCAGAACCATAAGAAAGTTTTCTTTATACTGAGATTTCTGCCCCTTTTCAACCAATAGCTTGATCTATGGGGCAGATTATTGTGCCTTTATAGGTTTCATCAGTATTTTGTAGATAAGGTATTCAGGTTTTCAACAGACTCTGGGACAAATTAATTTGGGGTATGCTTATAAAACCGGCATGCCAGTTTGCCTGTAAAACTGGGCCTGTTTATGTTCTTAGCTTTTAGACTAATTGGAGTAGGGTATAGAGGCATCCCGTTCCCTGTTACCCTCTCATACTGTATCTTTAAAGCACTTCCCACTCCCCCACCAGCCTCCCAGCCCCGCTTGTCCTAGTTCATTTCCGCTATCAAAAGCAAGCTAGAGAAAATAGTTTCAAAAATAAAAGTAAAGGAAGATGGTAGGTTTCTCTCCTCCACACCACCCAGCTCTATTTAGATATATATTAAAAATTACAGTCCTGCTTTATAGCCCACACATGGGTTCCTTGCTTGGCTTTCATGTATCCCATCTTGGGATTCTGACTGAAACCTGCAAAATGGTGGCTTTCTTGAAGTGCCTTACTCAAATGGGTTATAAATGAGTGATTTCATAATCTTACACTGGTCTGTTGCAATCATTTGGATAACCAATTTTGTGCAAGCATTGAAGAACAAAGCAGATGAAATGTGCTAGAAGATGCAGGGACTCTGCTACTTGTAACCTTAGCATGTAGCAGAGTCCCAAGTTCAGTCTAATGGATGAAACTTGGGGACAAGGCTGGAGAAGCCCTCTCCCTGAGACCTTGGAGGGTGCCTTGTTGGACTAGATGGGTCAATCGTCCAACTCAGTAGGAGGCCATTGGGGTGTTTGTTGGGGTGTTTAACTTTGTGAGCCAAAAGCACATAGTCAAGCAACTTGCTTTAGGTGCGTTGATGAAAACAGCAAGTTGCCACTCCCTTGAAGCAGAGTGCTGCTTCAGTTCTGGAATTCAGATCCTGTTCACATGTAATGGCAGTAAACTGTGGATTAATCAGTCTATGATTTTCTGCAGTGCATGTCTGGTGTGTGCTGCTGCCATTCTGAATGCTGAACCTTCAAATGGCCCAATCTGAACTTGCTTCTTGATGTGCAAACCCAGACCCTGGAGGTAAACTGTGAGTAAGACAACCCAAAATTAATTTAATAACCAATTGTAGGTTACTGTTCAGTTGTTTAACCCATGGTTAACCCACAGAATCCAGGTTTCAGATCATGGAGCAATGTCAGATTAGGCCAGTCAGAAGTTGCATATCAAAAATGGGAGCAATACGCAACCATTGCATACAAAGCAGATCACAGAATCATTCTGCTCAGATCCCTTTTGTGCATCAGAGAAACTAGAAATATTTGTGTCACTCTGCCTGGATAAGGTAGCACAGTGATTGGGATTCAGATCACAGTAGTATTTACTTTTGAATCATGTATCATTTTGAAAGAAAAAAGTTGAGATACACCCTAGTGTAAGAATGCTGAACAGATGTTTAAAATGTAGTGAAATAATTATTACCATTTTAGCAGTTATATTTGCCTACCCTTCTCTTCTGTTTACTTATTAAAGCCATTTTATTCTGTTAGGAAAAACAGTGGCCTCTCTTTAAATTCTTGTATTGCTGGTCACTTGGCAGTGAACAATAGTGACCTAATTAATGGGGCATTGATGGCCATCTGGCTATTTAAGCTCCTGCAATGTTCCATACAGCTCTACCTCAAAGGAGACACAGACAGCTAAAGGTAAGATTTGGATTCTGATCTTGAATGCCAAGAAAGTAAATAGAGCAGTTTGTAATTGCCTAGAGGAAGTAAGTGTATATAGGCTAGAAGAAGAGTCTTGCATCTTCAGGGCGCTGCTGTTGGTTTAGGAAGAGAATCACTGTGAATGTAGTACTACCTGCCTGTATAATTTATAAAGAGGGAAACACTGTGGGCTTGATGCTGTTCACCTCACATCCAGTTCATATACGAGTAACACCTGCATGCAGAGGGAACTGCCTAGAGCATAAGCAGATCTTGCTCCTTTCTGAGGCCCACGCTCATTGGCATTCAGTGTGGTAGTCTGTTCGTGGTACTGGGAAGCAGAGCTGCACCTTTCATATCTCCATCCAACCTACTCCATTCCACTTGCTCAGGGAATGCAAGGTCCAAGTACAATCTTTACATTTCCCTGAGGATGACATGACGGTAGATAAGATCTATGCCCTTAGCTAGGAATCCCTCATGGAGGAGTGGATCAAAGTCTTTAATGCTGCTATCCTATACTCACTTACCTGGAGTAAGCACTATCGAACCCAGTGGAACTGATTGGGTAGACAGGTATAGCATTATTCTGCCAATGCTTTCTGCTTGAAAGGAACTTGACCCTGTCAAACTACTTCAGAACTTCCTGTTGTCTGAGAAAGTGCTGAGAATTTTAGAGAATTTAGAAGAGAGAATTGTACCTTCAGTTTTGTTGAGCATGGAAGATCTGATTCTTTGCACATAGAAGCAATAAAATACACATCCTTCGGTAATTGAGCAGGTATCCAAGAAAGGTCTGCATCATATTCCTCAGTCAATTCATCTATACCATCTAAACATATAAGGAGTGGCTTGTCTTGTGTAGAAAATTTCAGTAAAGAGGGAAACTCTTCCATCAGTCCTTCAAAATCCTTTTTGAGAAACAGGAAAGATTTTAGCCATCCTCAAGTAGCTATGAGTTTTGCACTGAGTGTTAGGTCACAATGACTAAAAATAATAATTCAAGACAAGAAGGACTTCTCTTAGTGTTCTAGACACCTCCAGTCTTTTTTGCCATTTCAGGTGGCTTTTTTTTCTGGAGGACAGGTGGAATTGACACACCTGTGTGCAATTCCAGTTACAGTAACATTTTTATTAATATTTATGGGGAGCTCTCATATCTGATCCTGGAAACATTTTAAAGTAGCTCTTCAGAATGAAACAGGAAATGACCTATCCAGACAATGAGATGATTCTGCTCACCAGTTTTCAAAATCTCTGGCCAAAGACACATGCCATGACAGTTCACCTTGGGGGTTGTTCTGCTGTACCCAGTGCCTTTTAGTATGGAGCTGGTGGGCATTTCTGCTTTCTTTGTTGTGTGAAATCAGTGTTGCAGGTTGTTGGAGGGGGCAGACAACCTCCAAATAACCTTAAAACAAGCTGTGGTCTCTACCCTCCTAAACACCACACAGCATTGCAAACCATGAGTGCATGGCCACTTGCACATTAGAAATGGTGGCTGGCATGCTCTGCTAAGCCCCACAGGGAAATTAACCCATGGTGGCGTGGCGTATGTGTGAACAGCCCTTCTGGGTCTTTTCCTTCCTCCTCCTCACGCTACCACTCCATTCTATTTTTCCTCTCATGTTCTTTTATCCCCCCTGCCCCAGGTGTTCATTTTTATTGCCCCTCCTAATCTAGTTGTCATGGTTTTTGTTTATGTCTGTCAATGTTTAAGGTCACCAAGTTAGAACTGGACTGTTTTTCTGGGCTGGAGGGTTGTTAATGTTTTTCATACTCCTGTGAACTTCAGCATTACCCTTGGTCTCCTGATACCTCACTTTTGGGCACTTTTAGCTACATTCACCCATCCAGAGGAGAATGTCAAATGTCTTAATGGCTTGAAAAATATTAAAAATAGGCCCTGAGGGAGGACATTTTCAAAGACACATCTGACCACCTCTGAGATGTACTTGCACAGGAACAGGGTGTGGTGCACTTGTATAGTAATTGGTGATAATACACAAGACAGCTGCTTTTGCTTCCCCATATTAAACACTCTAGGACCACCATAAGCTTTAACAATTGTGATGATCCACTGAAAAGATATTGGATGTTTCTATATGAAGGAGTTAACTGTCTGTTAATCCTGGATCTCTTTTTGGTTTTGTCACAGAATTGCAATTTGAACACAATATGAAGAGCTTTCCTACTTATAGAACCTGTAGGTGGCACTGTGGTTCCATATAGAACCTGTAGGTGGCATTGTGGCATAGTTGGATAGCACAAATACAGAAGATGAAACCATGCTTTCTTTCACATTCACAGTTAAACGTGGCAGTTTCCTTGTTCTTTTTAAAAAAATGCAGTAGTTGCTCTTTAAACAACTAAGTGAAACTGGAGGGTCATGGCACCGCCTAAAGAAACTGTAAACAATGAATGGGGAATGACATGTACACAATTAATGCCTTGTGTAGAAAAGTCTAATTTTTTTCCTTTTTTCTTTGACCAGCCTTATCGTGTACATGTTTTGTGGTTGTTCACGTAATAACTTTGTTTATTGCTAGATTTGAAAAAGGAGAAACAATATAAAATATCACAGAATAATTATTGAGCTTCAAACAGAAGCAACATTTAAACCCCTTACCTCAGATAAATTAACAGAGACATTGTAAATATCAGCTATCTGGTGGCAAAGACTTTGTAGCATCAGCCGAATATTTCTGCTTTCACCAGTGACACCAATAAATCGAATTACAACTCTGAGATCCCTGCATTAAAATAGAAGGGGAAGACTGGAGTCCTTTTTTTAAAAAGCCATTGGAAAATAGTACTTATAGCTTTATTTTATTTAACACATAAAGCATTGAAAATATTCTCTCACTGCACATATACTTACCTGGCACTGACTCCCAGTCCATTGCCAAGCACATTTTTTGAACTTTAAAACCTTTGACAACATGTCATTAGAGGTTACCTGAAAGGTCACCACACACCCCTACCTGAACCTTCAGTTTCTCTTCTGTTCTGTGTGACCTAAGCAAATGAAGTGAGGTGGGAGTCCACAAGGGCAAGGCCAGTGGCCTGTTCTCAGTGGTAACATTCATTCATAGTATGGTATAAGCTCTTTTGTTTGCTTGGTGCTTCCTTTATGGTCCTGACAGAACTAGATGAAGACCTTGCTATTCATGCGGGTTTCTAAACTGCTGGCACATTTTTAAATATAAAAAACTGGGCTCTCAGTGTTTGAGCTCTGTTCTTCAACCCACTAGAAGGTGGGTTGTCATGCTTTATTTTATTATCCTTCTTGTATTTCAGGGATTTGGAGAAGGAAATGGCAACCCACCCCAGTATATTTGCCATGAAAACCCCATGGACAGTACCAAAAGGCAAAAAGATATGATGCCGGAAGATGAGCCCCTCAGGTCAGAAGGTGTCCAATATGCTAATGGAGAAGAGCAGAGGGCTAGTACTAGTAGTGCCAGAAAGAATGAAGCGACTGGGTCAAAGCCGAAAGGACACTCAGTTGCTGATGTATCTGGTGGTGAAAGGAGAGTCTGATGCTGCAAAAATCTATACTCCATAGGAACCTGGAATGTAAGATCCATGAATCAAGGCAAGCTGGATGTGGTCAAACAAGAGATGACAAGACTGAACATCGACATCTTAGGAATCAGTGAACTAAAATGGACAGGAATGGGTGAATTTAATTCAGATGACCATCAGGTATACTACTGCGGGCAAGAATCCCTCAGAAGAAATGGAGTAGCCTTCATAGTCAATAAAAGAGTAGGAAAAGTAGTACTGGGATACAATCTCCAAAATGACAGAATGATCTCAGTTCAAATCCAAGGCAAACCATTCAACATCACAGTAGTCCAAGTCTATGCCCCAACCACTGGTGCTGAAGAGGCTGAAGTTGACCAGTTCTATGAAGGCCTACAGTACCTTCTAGAATTAACTCCAAAAAATGATGTCCTTATCATCATGGGGGATTGGAATGCTACAGTAGGAAGCCAAAAGATAACCGGAATAACAGTCAAGTTTGGCCTTGGAGTACAAAATGAAGCAGGGCACAGGCTGGTAGAATTTTGTCAAGAGAATATGATGATCATAGCAAACACTCTTTTCCAACAACGACTCTACACATGGACATCACCAGACGGTCAACACAGAAATCAGATTGACTATGTGCTCTACAGCCAAAGATGGAGAAGCTCTATACCAGGGGTCTCAAACTCAACTTACCTGGGGGCCGCTGGAAGTAGAGTCTGGGTGAGGCTGGGCCGCATCAAGTATTCCACCACCGCGGTGGTGGTGGGCCGCTCATCCGGAGGCTGGTCCAGGTGCTGCCGGCGCTTTGAAGGCCGCAGGGCCCCTCCCCCGTGCCCTGCCTGTCCCGGCAATTGGCCCGCGGGCCGCGAGTTTGAGGCCGCTGCTCTATACAGTCAGTAAAAACTAGACCAGGAGCTGACTGTGGCTCAGATCATGAGCTTCTGGTTGCAAAATTTAGGCTTAAGTTGAAGAAAGTAGGGAAAACCACTAGGCCACTCAGGTATGACCTAAATCATATCCCTGATGAATATACAGTAGAGGTGACAAATAGATTTAAGGAATTAGATCTGATAGAGTGCCTGAAGAACTATGGACAGAGGTTCGCAACATTGTACAAGAGGCAGCAACTAAAACCATCCCAAAGAAAAAGAAATGCAAGAAAGCAAAATGGCTGTCTGAGGAAGCTTTACAAATAGCTGAGGAAAGAAGGGAAGCGAAAGGCAAGGGAGAAAGAGAAAGATAACACCCAACTGAATGCAGAATTCCAGAGAACAGCTAGAAGAGATAAGAATGCTTTCTTAAATGAACTGTGCGAAGAAATAGAAGAAAACAAAAGAATAGGGAGGACCAGAGATCTCTTTAAGAAAATTGGAGATATGAAGGGAACATTTCATGCAAAGATGGGCATGATAAAGGACCAAAATGGCAGGGAGAAATCATGGAGAAAGCTAGGGAGTTCCAGAAAAACATCTACTTCTGCTTCATTGACTATGCTAAAGCCTTTGATTGTGTGGATCACAACAAACTGTGGCAAGTTCTTAAAGAGACGGGAGTACCAGTCCATCTTATTTGTCTCTTGAGAAACCTATATGCGGATCAAGAAGCAACAGTGAGAACTGGACACGGAAACACTGATTGGTTCAAAATTGAGAAAGGAGTTCGGCAAGGCTGTATACTGTCACCCTGCCTATTTAACTTATATGCAGAGCACATCCTGAGAAAGGCGGGGCTAGTTGAATCACCAGTTGGAATTAAGATTGCTGGGAGAAATATCAACAACCTCAGATATGCAGATGATACCACTCTCATGGCAGAAAGTGAAGAGGAACTAAAGAGACTCTTGATGCGGGTGAAGGAGGAGAGTGCAAAAGTTGGCTTGAAACTCAACATTAAGAAAACTAAGATCATGGCATCCGGTCCTCTCACTTCCTGGCAAATAGATGGGGAAGAAATGGAGGAAGTGACACATTTTATTTTCCTGGGCTCCAAGATCACTGCGGATGGGGACTGCAGCCAAGAAATTAAAAGACGCTTGCTCCTGGGGAGGAAAGCTATGGCAAATCTAGACAGCATACTAAAAAGCAGAGACATCACCCTGCCAACAAAAGTGCGTATAGTCAAGGCTATGGTTTTCCCAGTTGCAATGTATAGTTGTGAAAGGTGGACCATAAGGAAGGCTGAGCGCCAAAGGATTGAGGCTTTTGAATTGTGGTGCTGGAGGAGACTCCTGCGAGTCCCTTGGACCACAAGGAGATCAAACCGGTCAGTCCTAGAGGAGATCAACCCTGACTGCTCTTTAGAAGGCCAGATCCTGAAGATGAAACTCAAATATTTTGGCCACCTAATGAGAAGGAAGGACTCCCTGGAGAAGAGTCTAATGCTGGCAACAATAGATTGCAAAAGAAGAAGGGGATGGCAGAAGATGAGGTGGCTGGATGGAGTCACTGAAGCAGTTGGTGTGAGCTTGGGGGGATTCCGGGAGATGGTGGAGGACAAGAAGGCCTGAAGGAATGTTGTCTATGGGGTTGTGATGGGTCGGACACGACTTCACGACTATCAACAACAACAACAACTTTGTATTTTAATATTGTACTTTATTCTTTGTTTGATGAGCCACCCAGTCAGGGAATATATTCTAAGTGCACCTGTTCTTGTGGTGTAAAGCAGGTGAAAGGTCTTGTACATCTTGTTATATATTATCCTTTATACAATATTTGAGTCAGAACTGAGAAATAGAGGTCTATAATAGCTTTATTGTCTGCATCCAAGAACTTCTGTCTTTGTTCCAGACCTGTATTGGTTTGTCTGGTTGGTTCTCTCTGTGTGTGTAGCTTAAAGGAAAACTGTGTGCTTTTAAAGCTCTTTTACGTAATGTAGTCCTACGTATCTACTGCAAAAATTGCCTGTCAGCAATGAATGCGAGGGGCCTTACCCAGAGATCCAGTTAGATGCCAAAGAAGCTGCTTTCGCCATGATCCCACTTTTCCCACATCCAGGCTCTCCACACACTACAGTTAGCCTCCTGTTTAAAGATGTAAGCTGATTCTTCAGCTTGCACAAAAACACTTTTCTTCCTCTTATACGTTTCACTCTATTTGAGACAAAGGAGAAACATTTTTTGGTCACCATCGTGTAGGCTACATACTACAACCCACCATGGCTTAAATAAGCTACAGTGGCTGCAGTGACCATGAAACCCAAGATTTATTGTTGACAGAGTGACTTTGTCTCTGAAGGAGAAAGAGGATACATACTTCTATCAAACTTGGAACTCTTTTTATCATAGGCTATACATAGATTTGAATATATTTATGGATTGCTATAAAAAAATGGGGGGCTGACCCAGCAGGTCTGATGTTTCTCATGATTGATGTTTTTTAATTTCTTTTTGTTTAGTTTGTAGAAAATAATAAAATTTACTCAGAAAAAAAAAGACTTATTATTGTGAGTATGGGGATTTAGAAAGGAATAAGTGAATTGGCCCCAGAGTGACTGCAAATGTTCCTTAAAATCAGTGGCCAAGTTGCCATGTATATATTTTGTCAAGGATATTACAGGAAAATAAATGATCCGTACTGCTAAGTGGTTAATTGAAGAAGATTCCTTCCCTTTTCCTTTTCCACCAAAGGAAAGGGGCCAACTCAATGTGAATGGAAAACAATACAAGCATTTTAGTAGAGAGTTTGCAGTTTTTCAGGAAGGCAGGGAGACAGCTGAGCTATAAGCTGTGAAAGGATTTTTGGATGCTGGCTGGCTAAGAGATCTGATGTAGGGCACTGAAATTTTCTTGGGTGTTTCAGCTGTTTGCCTCCATCTATGGTCAATTTCTGTATTTGTAAATAAGCTCACATATTTACAAAACATAAGCATCCTTCCATGAGAAATCAAAGCATGTTACCCCTGGAATATCCCACCAATGATCAAGTAAAATAAGCATAATGATATTTGTATGTATTTCTCCCTATGCCAAGCCATTTTCTGTCATTAAAATAAGTAAGAAAGCAAGCAAATAGGCAAGCAAACAGATAGCTGGGCTGGGCTGCAGGAGAAGTATAGAAAATGCACAGCAGGTCTGAACTATAAGTGCATTTGCAAAAGAGTAGGGTGGGGTGGAAACTTTAAGGCCATAACATCTTTAGACTGGCTTTCTCATCATACCAGCGTTTTTTCACTTTGTGTGTGGGTGTGCTTAACTGCTTTTCTGATGAAGAGTTCTGGAGATACACTGGCTATATAGTGCAATTTAGATTGATTCAAATAAAAAAGGTTGCCCGAATGTGGATTTTGGGTTTAAGTCCATTCACTGAAGCCATTTGCAATAAGCTGTTCCTTGGTTGCATTTGTACTTATATTCGCTCCTGGCTGATAGCTGTGATTTTCAGTCTACTCATGAAGCTTTCTATCTGTGATGAAACTGTGGCCCACTCTGCACAACCATGGCTTATTTAACCCTCACAAAACCACTGCCATCAGGGTTCACATGACCCGAAAAGCCAAGCAACTACCAGCTGGACTTTGCATATTCAAACTAGTGGCCGCTATGGGCAATGTAGTGCCCATTGTAGCACCCATGTAGTGCCGTAGCTTGTTGTGAAGTGCAAGCTGACCCAATCAAGTGCATGTCCCTGCTAAGCTGAATTTACCATGAATCAGCTATTGGGTTGACCATGCAAATGCTCAAAGACACTTGCAGTGGTGTGGCCAAAGCCGATCCATGCTGTCTCTGTTACCATCATAAACACCACCAGTTTCTTTTCAGCTGAAATGACTAGAAGTTGGCCCTGCTGAATGAAAAACATGCTTTCCGTGAGCTGAAATGGTCATGTGAAATAGCGGCTAACACCACTGTGCTCCTCCCGCAAGAAGGAAAAAGGCCCACATAAGGCCACGCTTACGGCATGGTGCCCCACAGCATGCTGCAATGAGCGCTACTGTCTTGAGCCCACTATGCTGTGCCACAGGGCATGTGGTGCAGGAGAGACAGGAGACCAGCGGTGGCCTAAGATGGCCTGTTGTTGAAGAGTATTGAAATGGTGCCCTCTGTGGTAGTCGAAAATGTAAGATACTAGTATACCCTCTAATGCTATACTAAAACTGATCACCTAAGCCTCAGCCAGCCTAACAACACAACAGGACTTCGGGGCACTAGAAAACTTCACTAGGCACCATCTTAATGCAAAAGGTATTTTTTGGTGAAAGCAGAGACTCCATGATTCGCAACCAACTTCTTTTTTCCATAGGTGAGTCATGTTTCCTAGGAATGATTCCATTATACAGTTTGATTTCCCTTCGCATGCTCTTGTTGAATGAGCAGAATGCTGCATGAATAAACAGATTAGTCTCACACTTGCTTAAACATCCATGGTGTTGGTAACTAATAAACGGTTGTTTTTGCATCTTCTTTAAATGACAGCATTCAGCAGATAAATTATTCTCACTAGATTCCACCCTCAGTACATTCTCTGTGATGAAACGTGATGAATGCAAATGAAGTAACAGAACATTACCAAACTTACAAGGCTTGACAGTGCTGGATATGTTCCAAAACTTCTTCATCATTACGAGTTTTAAATGTCTGTCTTCTTCTCATAGGTAGGCTTTCTGGAATATCCTTTGAGTTGATTGCTCTGGTCAAATCAGAACATAGGGATGTGGGGAAGTTTTAAAGCAAATTTCCAGAAATCACATGGTTGTTGACAATAAAGTGGATATACACTTTAGGCTGGACACTACCCCCTGGGTCTGAGATGCTGCATCCGTACTCCAGAGCCCTATGCCTATTTTCTGTGTTGACCACCAAGCATAGAAGCCAATGTAGAAATGGCATTTTAGAAGGTATATTGGAAATGCAAAACACATCATTGGTTCATATAATCTTATTTGTGCTGAGAAAAGATCAGATTTTGGAAAGGCTAGCACTGTTTTATTAGAAGGAAGCCCCACTATAGCATAGTTTAGCTCCCACTCACGTATGTGTACAAATATGCCAAAACATAAGAATGATTTTCTGGGCCTACTTAATCCAGCACTCTTTCATCAGAATAGGTCAATCAGACCCTTCTGGGAAGTTCATAGAAAGATATGATGGAAAGAGCCATTCTCTATTAATTCCCAGTATAGGGTAGTAACAGATAATCATTGATAGGTAATGAGAAAACCAACTGAATTTTTAAGTCTACTGAAACTCAGCCTTATGAACTCATCATGCTTCACTGTTTTCCTCACAAAAAATTATGAGGCTGACCTGTTGAACTGGTTGATGGCAATTTTCTGAAAGTCATTGCAAAGACACTCCAGGTAATAGGCATGTGATCTGTTGCTGGTGGGGTTGATTCCATCTCTTCCCCAGCTAACATTCTTGCAGTAGATATTTGTGTGACGTATCTGTATAGACAAACTTCCATATCAATCCCCAAAGCAAGCAAACAAGTAAGTGAACAGTACTAAAAAGGATACTTGGTGGAATTAAAAATATTCTGCATGTGAGGCTTTCTGTCAAACAATAAAGTAAAACTGACTTAAACCTGATGAACATTTTATTTTTTAAGTTCTTCTTATGTTTAGGTTCTTCTGTTCCTAAGTATATTTTCTAAGAAGTCTGTTTCATTAAAACAGTAATTTTGTTAGTTTTACCCTATTTTTAGAATGCACTACAACATTTTGTGTAACACCTAACTCCAGCTGAGGCTATACATTTAAGGAAAAAAAACACAAATGGAAAAATAAATGTTTCCTTGTCTTAAGTTTATTTTAGTCTTAAGACAGTAAATGAAGACATTTATTGCAAGCTTTATTAAGTCATTGCTTTGCCATTTGATAGATTAAGGTCACACAGAAGCATGCTGGGACAAAAAAGCAATGAATGCCTTCCTTCTGGAAATATAAAAATCATTAGTAAGTCACCTCTGTCTCCAGCAGTTTGGAACTTACATGTACACTATGAGGCTAATAAAAGAAGGGAAAACCAGTGGTGTTGGATTTCTGCTAATGTGTTTAGGATTAAGTTGTTAGTTTATTTGATTACGTATAACAGAGAAAGCTTGCAAATTTAAACAATAGGTTTTAATTAATTAAAATTGATTAAAATTGATATATAGGTGGAAATGTATATTGCAGTATTTGAAAATGTTATCTGAAAAAATAAGAGACATTGGTTGGGTTTGCATGATCCGAAAGGAAAAATAACGCATGGTAGCTTCTGTGTATGCTGGTTACAAGCTGTCGGATCAATGTAATTACCCTCACCGGACAAAGGTTGTTGTGACATCCAAGCTCAGTAAGGGTTGCTCGCTGCCATGGTTTATAAATCATACTGAAACCGACCGCTTGCTTTAAAGTTTCAGAGTGGCCTGTAAACACTCCAACCATTCACCTTTGCTAGGTTTGGATGTCATAACAAGCAGTGTCCAGCAATTAGCTATACTAATTAGCTATACTAATTAGATAGCTTGCAATCAGCACACACCAGGAGGGAAAATAAGCAGCTGTGGCTTATTTTTCTTCCATGATCATGTGAACCTGGTTGTTGAATTAGTGGAAGGCAGGTGCAGAAAATGCTGCTAGACCACTATATAAAAGTGCAATAATAAACAGGAAGAACAATGTTTTTCTCATTGACATTGTGGTATTTAGCAGATTAAGGGAAGAATTTTCCCAGTGTGATATCCACGAGCTCCATTTTTCAAGAATAAGACTCCAGAATTCCTTGCATGACCTGTTGAACTGGTTGATAACATATTACAAACTCTTAGATTCCATGTTTTGTCACAGAGAACCTCCTGAGCTATTTCCAGCTCAGAAAGTTGGGATATTCTGATCAACCTACCCTAGAATGAATGCTTTTAACAAAGGCCTGGTGTGCTTCTTGCATTGTTCTGTTGATCTCTGTTTTGAGTGGGTGGATGTCAATATATTTTGATGCCTGTGGATTTGACAGACCACATTCCAGGTCAGTTATGTTTCTTTTGAAGCAGTAGCAGTGATCCTCACAAGATCCTTGGACCTGGAATCCTTGATCCACTTCCTGTTGCAGAACTTGCAAAACAGAAATAATTTCACTCAGAGTACTAGAATTACCTCTATCCCAATAATAAAGCAAAATAATCTTGGATGTCCTCACCCGTTTGGAGCAGAGTGGTGGCCACTTCTTGGCCAAGAGCAACTGGAGCGTATTCCTGAAATATCTTATGAAGTTTCCGAAAAGACATCAGCCATTTGTTCTTAGCTTGATGCCTGCGAGCAGGATCTTTACTGAATATATCTCTGTATGCTGTGCTGTGTAGACAACATGAAATGCACAAACTGTGAGAAATGGTCTACACACTCAAAATATACCTTCTAACCTCAGAATGCAAAATTCTCCAGTCCCAGGACATGCTGAAGTGCAACACTTTGGAGATGCTGCACTCCCAAGTGAGCTACGGATGTCCAAAACAAAGACGGGTGATACAGATTAAAAATATACAATTGACTGTGCTCTGCATTCCGTCTTGGCACTATGACCTGCGCAAATTATGGGGGAAAATTAGAGGGATCCTCAACAAAGTCAATAATCCCAACCCAGATGTCTCTTAATTTTAGATAATTTTAGTCCAGTCCCCATAGTTTTAAAAAACCAAATGAGGAAATGTGACCAGTACAAAAGTTGAGGGGGGTGGTCCTCTGTCCACCCACTCCCTTGTCATTCAGCCTCTGGCACCGTAATAGATTTCGAATGTGATGGCATTGGTGAGGTCATCTCTACAGGCAATGTAAAGGTTAATATCAAGGAAAAATCTCAATTTAGTCAATGGAATTGAAGTAGGGATAACAGAACTTGTTAAGCCATCTCAGAATAAAGTGTTCTTCTCTTTTTCAAGAACAGGACAGTAACATTTCGAGACTCTTGACATTTGTGACAGATAGGTTAGTCATGTACCTGAAGCAAATGAGCAGCTGCAACAACAGCTGGTTTCCTGCCTCCTCTGAGGTGGCTGAAGAAAGATGTATAGATCTGGTTTTAGCACTAAGAAAGCTCCCTGTTACCCACAGTGGGATGAATTTGCCAGGAAAGCAACACAGGTAGTGTATGAGCCTGTTGACTGTTCCTGGTACTCTCAGCTGCTTTCACTGAAGCTTGCAACTGTTCTCCAACAGTTTATTTAATTTGCTATTTTCCAATTTGTGTTTTATTTAATGCATTTTTATTGGAGTGTTTTGGCTCGTTTTTAATGCCTTGGCATTGTTTCCCGGATTGCACTGTTAACTGTTTTGTTCATTGAATTGCTTAAAAACAAACAAAATATATTTTAAAAGAAAAAGTATGGTATAAAGGTGGGATCATATTTATGTAATAAACTGTTTATGTAACAAATACAGAAAATTATTCTGGAAAAGCTGTCTGGGCTGAGTGTGTGGACTATAGTTCTATAGTAGTTCTGCTGGCAGTTTTCACAGACTGGTACTGAGGAATCTCTCCTTGAATCCATGTCATTTACACCTGGTGGTTCTGCAGGTTCCATCTCACTCCCATATGGTTTAACATCTGCATGAAATGACCAAGAGGCTTGGAGTGCAATGCCACCAGTTTGCTAATGACATGTCTCTCTGTCTCTCTTCTTCACTGGATGAAGCTGAGACAGAGGAAGTGCTTCATTTTTAATTGTTTAATTAATATCCTGCCTATCCTGCAAATATTCTTTAAGGCAGCTAATAATAAAGTACAAATAAAATGTTATCTGTAGTAATTAAGGTAAGAGATAATTAAATATGGGCACATAAATTAAAACACTCATTGTAAAGAAAAAAGAATTCCCACTAGTTCAATGAACAAAACAGCTTAACAACCAAAAATATGCCTGAATAATTTAGCTTGTTGCGCTGTCAAGCAGAAGGATAATAAAGATAGCCTTGTTTGCCTTTCCTCCTTTGGCAGGGAGTTCCAGAGCTTGGAAGGTGATGAGAAGGCCATCTCTTAGCTTTTCAGAACAGGGGTGGGACAGAAAAAAAGGCCCAAGGAAATTAAAACCTGGCTGGCTCAAGCAGAGACTGGCTATGAATAAACATACATCAAATGAAGCTCATTCCTCACAAAAGTAGTGTTTGTGGGTGGCTCTTTTGTCTAGGTGAGTGGTGGTCAATCTCTTCTGGAAGCAGGTGCACTCCCTCTAAAGAATCAGGTGTGTAACTTCTGAGTACTTGTGCATCCATTTTTGCCCTTAGATAGTTCTTCTGAAACCTGTTTTAGTCTCTCCTGTTACATTTTGAATTGTTTTAGTATGTTGTTTCTGAATGGATTTATATGGATTCAATATGTATTTTAATGATATGTTGCTTTGACTACGGTTAGCTATACATCTAATAAACCCTAGAAATAATTAGATATAAATGAAGAGCGCAGTACCATGATTCCTTGAGAGGAAGTTGCATGGACAATTCCCAGGGACTATGCTATAACTAGCTACTTCTATGCATAGCTGTCAAGACCAGTGGACAAAAGTTCTAGGCTCTACGGACATTTGACCTTTGAATACATAGTAAATGTTTGCCTTTATTCACCAAGAGATATACTCATTTGGAGAGAAATGAGGAAATCCTTAGCCCAAGAAGATCATTGCTTTTTTCAAGCAGCAGCATTTCATGGAAGCTGGAGCTGATCTGAAATTTGCCTGTTTTCTATATAAGAAATTCAACTTTAAATTAATTCAGTGGAGAACAAGAGTTTCCTGGAATGGTTTGCATTTTTACTTGTAAGAGGTAGGCTTAAACCAAAAAATGCTTCCTTTTCAGAAAAAGGCTTTTTTGCCTGATAAATGGCACATATTTCATACTGTTTTTATTGTTCAGTGTAATATTGTATGATTATTTTATTTTTGTGTAAGTCACCTTGGGTTAAGGCTTGCTTCAAAAAAGACAGTATGTAAATATCCCCTGTGCCACCATCTTCATAAGAAACTGTGAGAAAAGACTGTTATTCTGTAACTGAGAAATCAAAAATCAACCAACCAAATAGGCTGAAGCCTGTAAACTGCAGGGATGCAATTTTCATCCATCCTGTACCATTGACTAAGAAGCTGAAGTTCTCTCTCATATGCAGCTGCATTCTTTTGGGGGAGTAGAGAAGCATTAGGCAAGATTTGCCCATTTGAAAGAATGTCCGATTCTTCCTTGATTTTTGTCTCAGATTCACATTCTTTTGTTGGTACCTCAGAGCTCAGGACATCTCGACTAACATCACCTTTAATGTCATCTTTTTTGTCTACTTGAGAGTCTTCCTTCAAGCCACCAGACACGATATGCTTTGATGGTTTAGTGCTCAGCTTCATGCTTTCAACTGTGGCTACGATTAGCTCAAAATTCTCCTTGGTTATTATTTCTGGGAGAGAGGGATCATCATGCTTTTGCCCAATGAAAACCTGAAACAGAAAAAGTAGAGAAAATAGCTTTACAAAGAACAAATACAACCCTGACAGCCCTTATTGTTCTGTCAAGTGAGTGGTATTCTGCAGTGTACCAATAAGCAGATGACCTGATAAAGCAAATGGCACTACTGAAAACAATGGTTCTCATGAATGGGCATGTACAGGATTGCACAGTAAAAAAACAAAATGCTCAATAAGTTGTAAAGTGTATCCCAACTTACAATGAAGGTTTGGAATCCCATCTGCTGGCATTTTGTTAATGTCTTCATATGTAGGGATGGCATATGATGGCCATTAGTGAAACCATCTTTTATTCCCCACCTCAAGTCCACCATCTGGAAGTCATAACCTCTCTCTTTACAATAGCAGTACAGTCGAGGAAAAGACTTCTCCATTAATGCATTTCGTTCTACTTCTGAATCTAATTAAAACAAAACAAAACATATTCTTTAAATGTTTTATCAGTTATTTTATGCTGATAAAAATAACACCTTCCAGCATTTGGAGATAATGAAAAATCAGTAGTCTTCCAGTCATGCACAGGCTGCCAGTCTAGCCACAATGAAAAAAAGATGCCCAACTGGATGGAAAGAGGGCCAGATGCATGACCCAACGCCACTGTTGTCATGATTTTCAGGTACATCATTTATTTGCAGTTATATCCCAAAATTCTTCTATGGAACTCAAACTTCCTAGGTATTCTCACATCTAACTGATTAGATCTAAACCTGCTTAGCTTCAATAAGCAGACAAAAGTTATGATGCAATAGAAATGCTGGTTACACAACCAAAAGAACTTAGCTATTAGCCAGTTGCCTGTTATTCTATTCATACCTGAACTCATGTTAAACACTTCTATAGCAACAAAAATACTACAGATCTGTGTAAGAACAAAAATAACCGTATATATGTGTGCATGCATGCACATACTTGCTTATATTTGGGGCAAAGAATTATGTATTGGACTCAAAATTCAGGTTTCTATGAATTTCAGCTCTGTTTGTGAGCTGGCAGAGGAGTGAAAAGCATCTCTGAATTCAGAGGTCCCTCTGTATGTGATCCAATAGTCAGGATGCAAGCCTTCTGTGTCTTGTGCTGTTATTTACACATGCAATAAATAAATACATTTCTCTTGACTACAGAAATGAAGTAAATTTCGCAAAGCAAGCAGATGTATGTAAATTTGCGGAATTTTCATAATTAATCAAGAATCTGGTGACATGATGGGATCCCAGGAAACCTGCAGTTTCTAGATCTTATAGGATCATGAGAAGCTGCACCTTGGACCATTGTCAACCCTGCCTTCCAGCAGTTCTCCAGCATCTCTGGCAGGGGTCTTTGATCCCAGTCCTACCTGGGACCCTTCAGAGGCCAAGCATGTGCTCTGTCACTGAGCAACTGACCTTACCCACTTATTTGAGATGAAATGGGGTTTACTTCTGAGTAAATATGTCTGGAACTACATGGCCAGCTAGACTTTTATCAAGCTAGTAGGGTTCTGAATGAGACTTTCCAATATTTGGGAAGAACCTGCTTTTACTGAGATGCTGAACAATACAAAAACTGGAGACAATCATATATTTTAGAGAGCTGAGGGATTAAAAGGGAGGTTGCTGCTCTTGGTAAGTAGGCTGGACATGCACATGGTGGGCATGTCATGAGCAGAGCCAGCTGGTGCTGGAGGTCAGACTAGATGGCCCAGGAGACCCCTTCTGACTCGCTCTGTTTCTATGTTTCTGTGTATCAAGTATAATATAGATCCCAACCAGCCTTCACAAATTTTTGGAATTAAAAAAACCCAAATTTATTTGTTATTTATTTAAAATATTTATATGCTGCCGATTCCACCTATGGCACCCCTAGGTGGCATTAATAACTGCCCCATATGGGTGCCTTTCAGTGTATATGATTCCAGAGGGGAAGCCAGCAAAAACATTTAGATTAGATTTGATATTTTTTTAAACACAAGTTTCTTGTATTCCTGGCTGTACCTTGATACCCTCCACAAATATAGATCATGAAGATCTTCTTTCTAATTGAACATGGCAAATTGATTTGTCCATTAATTATAGCCTTGTTTGTGTCAGCATCTGTATGGTTCCACTGATAACATTTTGTATCATCGGTTGTTTCCTGGTTTTTCGGTAAGGCAGCACTAAACGACTTTATTTTTTCAGCCTGCATTTTCAAATGAGATGCAATTAAAGGTGAGGATCTGTTGTGAACAGTCTTGGCTGCATCTTTATATTCTGAGCCATTTACAACTGATAATCCCAGAGAATCTGATAATGTGCTACTTGATAAATCTGTCATCCTTCTGTTGATCTCCTTTTCTTCACTTGTCAAAAGAGTTTTCAGTTTGAATTATTTCAGTACTTGTTTGTGCTTGGAGGAGCCATCTGTTTGTAAGCATCGATCCCTATGTTTCTGTTTTCTTGTGTTTGGAAAGTAATTCCTGTTTTGTCAATTCAGAAGTTTCATCCCTTTCCAGGTTCTCATCTGAGCAAATACTGCAAGAAGCATGGTTGCATTGGACCTGATCTATAGTGTTTGCTTCAACCTGAAGAAAGAAAGAAGAAATAACAAGCCCACAGTGAGTTAAGCAGCCTTTCAAATTTGCTATTTAGATAAAATATATACTGATGAGGATGCACTTCTGTAAACCAGACTGTGCCTTAAATGTGCATTCCCTTCAGCGGATGTAGCACATGGAAAAGTTGCAAGACTGGCATGGAATAGGAAGCTTAAATGATACTTTGGTGAATTCTTAATTTTAACTATGTTCTGTTCTCCCCACATTATCTGTTAGAACCTTGATCTTGAATAAGTAACAATCCATAAGCACTGAAAGAGAGAGGGGGTGACAGATCACACATCTCAAAAATCCAGGGCTCCAGAGAACCCACACTTCTCATTTTTGAGCACTATGCTTAGATACTGCCTGATGATTCTTACTTGATTCTTCTTGCAAGTGTCGTTGCATGATTTGTCTGGGAAGAGACAAGACAGAATTCTTGGTCCAGAGTTTAAAATAAACAAACCGTGGACGGCCTGTGGCCTGCAGGAGGTATTTTTGACTTCAGTTTCCAGAAGTACCTTCTGGCATGGCCTGTGGACAGAAATGCAGGCAGTTGCGGTTCAAAACACCTGGGGATCTTCATTTTCACTACCCCTGTGTTAGCTGCTGCTGTTGCTGGAGGATCAAAGTGGGAGAGATCTGGGAACAGGCACAAACATACTTCTTGGACATGATAAGGCAGGAATCTTGGGATCCCAGGCTTATCTTCACATTTAAATGCAGCCTATTTCTGTTATTAGATTCATATGGCACCTTAGCACATACCTCTTTCCTGAAAAGATGCACGATCTGTGTTATTGCATATACCACTTAGCACTTGGGATTACATTTAGTTTTATAACACAAGTTATCTTTTTGTGGGAGGTGGGGTGGGTGTTTAGCAATGACACAGATTTCCTCAGGTAGTGGTAGGTTCTCCTTTGCAGAAGGCATTTCTGCAGAGGTAGGATAACGGTATTTATTGATTTATTAAAAGCTTTTCTATCCCATCCCCTACAGAACATCTTGGGGTGGCTTACAATAAATAGGTAGTTGCATGGTGCAGTGCAGATCCTTCATGGAGCAAGGGTTCGACCAGATGACCCCAAGGTTGGACACTTTCAAAAACAACAGCAGAAGAAGTAAACCAGTATCCAGAATAGTTTAGTATTCATATAGAATGAAAGCAGCAAATAATTATAATTTCTCTAATATATATATATATAGTTATACTTTCTGTGAGCCATGGGTACATTTCCCTAGTACCAGTCTTCAACTGTGACTAAGCTAATGTACATGCACAATCACATGCTTTCCTCTTCCCCTCCCCCGCTTGCCTATCTGGCTCTGAAAACACATTCATAATGAGCTTTCCACCCCCTCCACCCCCAAAATCATCCTGAAATAAATATAGATACTTATATAACTTTAGAAAAGTTAAACATATTATAACAGAATCTAGCCAACAAAAATAATGTGTATTACATTTTGAATTTAGCAATTCACTTTGATTTTATCAAAACATACTTACAGGATGTGAAGGCTTCTGGTGGAATTTTCCTTATGTACAAGCTGTCCACATGATTTTTGCACAGATAGAAAGCCAGTTTTGAAAAGATTTTTATTTCATTGCTTCCTTGGCATTGCAAGATTGTCTTAGCTTTTTCCTCCACTAGGAATTGGTTAATTGGAATCCAAACACGCCTCTCTTCATATGCCTCCTTTCAGAGATATAATTTTAGTAAGATGGTAGCAATAAAAAGCCTCTCAGAAATCTCATTACAAGTACTCTTGTGTAACTGATCCATTGCATCCCTCTATCATCCTCCTTTACTGAATCTGAATTTGAGAAGTGGAAAAGTTGAGATGTGCTTGCAAAATGCCCATGAAGTAACAAGGATATTCAGTCTCAGGGATGCATCCAAACTGCAAACAACAACAACAACAACAAATCTTATCTTCCTTTTTATTTTCCTTCTTCTCTTTGCTTATGGAAGTGGATGAGTTTACTGATTCCCAGGCAGTGCTAACCCATAGCAACGTCCACTGGCAAAACCTGTTTGAGTTGTCATACAAGTTTCAGCATAGGAGTTTCATCCTCTTTTGAACAGCTGTTGACTAGAACCTCAGCCCAATTCTAACATGAATGGAAAAATAAGGAACCAAATATGATCTGTGAACAGTATTTATGGAATACTAATAAAGGAGTTATCAATTTAGTATAATTCCCCAGTTTTCTTCTGTTTAATAGGGCCAGTCATGTTATCTAGCTCCTGTGATAATTGACAAAATAAATCTAAATGCAAGTTATAATCACAACACTTTCAGTTTAAAACATTCCTGTATAAATAATTGTGGCAGGGGTAATGGAGTTTGGAATGTGTCAGGTGGCTGTTTCTGACACATTTCAAACTGCAGTAGGTAACAATTAATTAATTGTGCAGGGGTCCCCAAACGTTACAGTTGGTGGGCACAACTGAGAGTTTGAGTGAATGTTGTGGTTGCTGCCACAACGCAGAGCATCTTATCCCTTCTGCAAATGGCTGCCCTGGTGGGCATGGCCAGTGGCAGAAGGCTCACTTCCAGAAGTGGGGGTCCGGGCACCAAAATACAAAGTCACACTTCAACCTGAATAAGGGTGACACTAAAGAGTAGCATTTTCCTTTGCAGCAAATCCACCTTCTCTTGATGCTCTAGCTTCCTGCTCCTCCTGGTTATGATACCTATACATTTTAAGAAATGGCATAACGATCAGGAGAAGCAGGGAGCTAAGCAGGCACCCAGAGAAGGGGCAGGGGGACTACCAGACCAGACACTTTAGGTCTAAATTATAAAATGCAGCCAAGCTGAATTTTCTGCTGAAATAGTATTATGAGGCCAAAAGGGGCTGAAATTCACAAATGAAACACTAACCTCCAAGCCTTAAGCTTTTTGATTGCTGCTTTTAACTGTTTGTCTTACTGTACATTTTTAATTCTGATTTTTAACTGGTATTTATCTTCTTGTCAACTGACGTGGGAGCAATTGATTGAAAGGTGGTAGATAAAGGTCCTAAAGAATTAAACAATTCACATTTGCTCTACTGGAGGTCTGACATTCTATTCTTTGCACAAATCTCTTTAACTTTTCATGAAATTCATAATATGATCCAACTTCTTGCTGCTTGGTACAAAACTTTGAAACTCCAAGAAAAGCTTCAGCTGTAATAAATGTATTAGCCTCTGTGCTGTGAGCGTCTCCATTTGTTTGGCACAGGGATATAGCAACTGTTTTGTTCCCACTCAAATGATTTTACTATTATCTCCGAAGGCCCCAAACACTATGCTAATAAAATTAATTATCCTATTATTCATTAGCTGGTATAGCCTATGAGATTCAAGGTAACTTTATAGAACCACTTGCTACACAAAGGCCACTTTAAAACTTGGCATGTAGTGACATCTGTTTGTGGACAGCGGACAGGGACCTTCACTGCACCAACTCATCTCTGCAATAACATGTCCACAAAACATGCATAGTATAACAGATACTGTGGTTCTTTCTTGCATTGGGATGGCTAACACCACATATGGAAATGATTTATAAATGACACTGTTGCAGTGTGGAATCAGCCATCCAGAACTACTGACTACTGTGAAATGGTTATCAGTTGATCCAAATTCTGCCCAGTTTGGCAAGGATTGTCACAATTCCTTTACTCAGAGACCTGATACTATCAATAATAGAAAGTCTGAATCGATAGAAGCACAACAACCTGAGTTGAAACAGCTATACTGAAAGGTGTTGTTTTAAACTAGATTTGTGCACAGGATCTTCTAAGCAAAAGGAACACGACTGACAGAGCTGATTTGCACCAATACATTTTCAAGAGTAAATTCTCATGACAATGTGTTTGTGTCATGGCATGTATGTATCTTTTGACACTTCATCTAAAGATCAGTCAGTGCTTCCTGATGAGTTAACAGATATCCTACCTTTCAGCATCTTCCTTCATGTGTCTGGCAAATCTGACTTCATGTCAAGCTGCAGCAGAAAAGGAGGGGGCAAGTGATTCCAGCTTGTTTTCTGCCAACTGCTCTATTCAGATAAATTGTCATGGTAACTAAACTTATACTGCAAAGAAACTAACAACAAGAAACTTCCTTTCCCTTAGGGAGCTACTGAATAAGAGTGCACTAGTTTCTGTAGCTGGCAGCCTCAAATGTGAGACTCCCCACAGCCCCTAATCAGCAAAGAATCAGTGATGAATCACAAATTTGTTCCCCAAAGATGTCAGTGTTTTGCTAATATGGATTTATTTTATAGAAATAACTTTTTCTGTACAAAAGCCAAGAATGTCTTGATACTCCCTGCCAAATATTTAACATAGCAGTTTGAGAGAATTATATTAATTTATTAGATAAATAAATTAGATCTTGCCCTCCAGTAAATGAAATGGTGCTTTCTGAGTGCTAGAATACATAAGATGATGGGGCAGCTTTTTCTTTAAAGAACTGCCTTCAACTTGCCCATCCTGTTCCTTTTCTTGATGAACAGGGAGTGTTTCTTCAGGGATATTTCACTTATTTTCTTCTGAGGATCATTATAAGACCAAACCCTGTATTATGTGTGCTCCGGCCTTTTCCAGAAAAATAGGTTTTAAAAAAGGAATAAAACATTTGATGGTAGGCCAGATGACATCTTCCTTCTACAAATGGGAGCATCTTTTCACTATCCCTGCTAAAATGATACCTCTCCATTGTCATTATTTCCCTTCTTTGATGTTTAGTGGCTTGCTGTCAGCCATCTCAACAATTCCACTATCTTGTTTCCAGTATTCTTTGCACTGTGTGCTAACAGCTACTTCTGTTATTAGTTCCTGCCCACTTCTTCTCCCTTTCCCTCTTCCAGTATTGTCTCCTGGCATTTGCTGGCTACATCTAGATCAGAATGCCCTGTTCTACTAAACTCCTGCTTCATCATTAAATTCTTCCCCTCAGTCTTCACCTTGGTTTTACATGACTTTTTTCTTTGTACCTATAACCCTGCAATCATGCTACGTTTTAAAAGCTGACATTCTTTATTCCTAAGCAACCTTCATCATCCACCTCATATTTGGCTTTACTTCTGTTGAAAGCAGGACAGAATAGTTAATACATAGGTGGGGTCACTTTGGTTCGTCCATATAGTAATGTAGTGTCAACTTTTGGTTTTATAATAATACATGACTTCTGTAACATCCATATAAAGATCAATACTTCTTGTGACCCAAACCCATGCAGCCAAATGTAAGTCTCAAAGATTATACTAAGGACTGGCGTGTGTGTTCCACAATTCTATTGAAATACTGCTTAACTTTGCTTACAGTGTGCCCACTGCTTGCAAACATGGCCTAAATGCAAATAAATACACAATACAGAAGATAAATAGATATTTATTTAGAGCCTTCCCTGCAACAATAAAAATAGATGGCATTAAGGCATCTCATGTTCCATCACTATTTATCTAGTAGAGAGAACTTTCAGATACAAGAAAACACATCTATACAAATTCCATCTTACCTACCCACTTGGTAGAATGGTTACTTCCATTCCTTTACTTATTAACAAATGCAGGAACACTGACAACTCGTATTTTTCTAAGGGAAGAAAATAACTGAAACTGAAATAAATGAAGTTTGGCTAGCACCCAGAGCTGGTACAAGGACCAATCTTTTGACAAGAACCAATATGAAATACAAGGAACTCATTTTCAATAGCGAAGATATATTGGTGTGTTGGTACTCATTTCTTCATATAGCAGAAACACTGCATGTTTACTCAGAAGTAGCTTCAATTGTGTTCAATGGAGCTTATTCTCTACTGCATTTAGGATTGCAGCCGTAAAGATGTGATGTGGAAATCATTAACTTTCAGACAAGAGTTATAATTATCCCTCTTTAAAAATAATAGAGAAGTCTAATTATATTTAAGGCTCCATTGCTGATGGTGAGTGAATGAGAACAATGTTTTATACTAAGATGAGATTGTTTGCTGTCAAATCAATGCTCACACCATATAAACTTCCATCTGTGTTGACAAACACATGGGAAAAGAGCTACCATGGTTTGGTTAAAAGGGGAGATAATCAGTAGATAGGGCTTGTGGTTTTTCCTTCCCCTACAATCAGCCTATGGATTCTGAGTGGCTTCTTAGACCAACCATCAACCAACCTTGCTGGATTCACACATAATAAGCTATGATGCCCCTGCTGGCTGCAGCTGAAATATTCAAAATGGTAGCCACCACAAGAAGCCCTGTGGGGAATTTAAGTATTAAGTCCTAAATTAAGCATACGTTAGATGATTTACCATCAAAGACATTCATGATTTGGTATAACATGAAACAATTACATGTTCACCAAGCAACTGTCTTTTTGTCCCCCGCCCTCCCGTTAATCCTGGGGTGATCATAAACCAAGCTACATGGAAATCTTTTGCAGTGCCTGAACTTGGCATCTTATGTGAACTAAACCTACGCTGTTCCACTAAGCTACAGCTCTATGTAGGCTGGTCTGTATCTGGTCAGAAAGGCAACTTAATGGGTCTTTCTTTGGCATACTGCTGCACTTGTGAGACTAGATGTTGGGTTCTAGCAAGGGAAGTACAGATTCTAATCCTGTTCCCTCTCACATTTTGATCCAAAATAAGTTTGGTTTGCAGGGCCCCCTTAAAAGCAAGCCATAACTTCATTGTCTCCCTAGGATGATTCTGAAAGCACTATTTCTGCTTTAACAAATGTTTGTTCCCAATGCATTCCAGGTTATGTGAAGTATTCCAAGAAATCTCTGAGCACACAGATTTCAACTCTTCTAGGTGGCTAATGATTGCTCACTGTGCTACGAGCTTCAGAGCTACCTCAGTTAGATAGCACTCCTTTTTAAATTTTGTGTTTGTCCTAGAAGAAGTAGTATCTTTATAATCTTGCTCCTGGGAAGCTCAATCCCCGCTGCTACACTCCTGCTCCTTGCACCATGGAGGCTTATGCCAAAGGTATTGTAGTCTCTCCACTTGTGCATTGTTTGTGAACTACTCTGTGATAGATTCCAGTACATAATAATGTCTTTTTTTGGTCATAGTCCGATAACCCTAATGCACCAATGTGCATCACTTACAGCTATGACCTGCTGTAAGTGATACTAACTGAATAGTTGCCATAGAATTTGATGTAAGTGTTTCACAGTTATCCTTTGTGTAATGTGGTATTATTTGGCTTTCTCTTGTACTGGTGAAGTGCAAAGGGTCATGACTATATTAATACAGGGAAGACATGGTACATGGTAGGTGTAGCCAATGTTTGGCCCTCCAGATAGTGTTTGAGTAAAACTCCTATCATTTGTAGACATGCTGGCTGGAAGTGTTAGGAGCTGGAGTAGTAGCTGGAAGACTCGTCCTTTTTTAACCCTGCTGAAAAGAAACCTGAGAATGTGGGTGTAAAATACATTTTTTTAAATTGTAATTCAAGCTAATTCACATTTTTCGTAACTTTAACCAATTAGGGTACTCCCACAGTTATGTATTTCCGCCCAACTACTGGATGAATAATGAACATTATTTGAAATAACAGTGAAATGATTATGCAAGAATTAAATATAGAATAAGTTAAAACTACCAAACCTTTAGACAAGCTTGGGTACCTAATAAAAATAACACATTAATAGGTTTGTAAGAGGATATGAGTCCTAAATTAAGTATACTTCAGATGATTTACCATCAATGACATTCATGATTCAGTACAACGTGACACAATGTACATTAAAATTACATACTTTTATATTGTCGTGACAGCTGGAATCCAAAAAGAACTCCGCTATCTTCAGCATCATCCTTAATGGCAAACAAGTGACATGAAGAAAGCAATAACCACCAGAAAAATGTCCTTCCTGTTGAGTGCATTTCACAAATTTAAACGTGTAACTGTCATTTTATAAAATGTAAGTGAGGAAAGAGAAGTGCAGTTGACTCTAGAATGTGCTGTAATAAAACTTGAAAATTTTCAATGTAAAAGTCCACTTATTCATCATCCTTGGAACCCGTTTTGCTTAGCTATAAAAAGACAAAAATGTTTAGTGTTAATCATTTTTCTTGGCTGAATCAAGAGACAATTAATGGCTCTTAAGACCCATTGAAATAAACAGAACAAGTTTATAACAAGCAACTGACATTCGGGGGTGGCCAAGCTGAGGCTCAGGAGCTGCATGTAACTGAGTTTATTTTGTAGCTTGCTACTGGCTGCTGCAGGTGCCTGTGGGCACTCAATTGCTGCTTGCCACCTGCTGCTACGGCCCACGGGCACCCGCTTGCTACTCACCACCCACCTCCAGCACCTGTGGGCATCTGCTTGCAGCTCTCAAACATCTGACATTTACCGTATGTGGATCTTTGACTGAGCAAGTCTGCCACACTTGTTATATTCCATGATACAACTAACATTTTCTGAATGGCAGCTTAATGCATAAAAACACTACTCTGAAGCCTCAAATGTTTAAATATATATTTGATTATTTATTTAAAGTTTTCTATACCATTTTACATTTAAAAATCTCAGCATGATCTAACAGTCAGTCATGTAAAAAGTCCGCAAGATCAGGCTGAATCAGAAAGGCTTGTGGAAGCCGATAGCCTATGATTTACAGATCTGTTTTTGCTTTCTTCCTCATGCAATCCTACTACCCACTGTTTCAAAACGCAAAACACAAATCACATCAATACAAGAAGCTCTGTGATGAATAACTAGTTTTTTTAAATGATGCATAAGACACCTCACTCCAATCCTGCTGTCATCGCACCATTACAAATCTCAATTTTGTGCTGCATAATAGATTCAGAAGAAACCAAATCAATGGAAATCCTTTTTATGTTTAGAATCAGGGTATGATCATATCCTAAGAACTTATCAAATGAGAAACAGTATCTAAACATTCTTGCTTGCAATTAAAGATGCATTTCAAAATCATGAATAACACTTCAGAGACAGTAATACTTACATGCTGCTTAAAAACAAGGAGAATCCAAATGTTGTTCATGTTGAAAACAGGTAAAGAAAAAGGAGAAAGAGAGAAAGAGTGAGAGAAAAGGATTAGGCACCATTATAAGTCTCCTGAAGGTATTAGTTTTTTTTAAATTTGTTAAAAATATTAAATATTACCTTGATTACATCAACCCAATTCCATCCTCGAGGAAGCTCTCCTTTATGATCTATCCAAAACAAAAATATTATTAAACATCAATTAATTTTACATTTCAAATTCAAATTCAAACAATTCTGATTTCAGTGGTTCAATTCACATTAAATTCCAAAACATGAATATTCTTTTGGATCACTTGGATTCACACAACATGACAATAACTGCTATCCAAACAACACTTTAGCGTGACTATCACTGCCTCCTTATACTTCAAAAAATTGGATGGTACAAATGTCATTTTTGGAGGAGGGAGGGAAACACCCCACAACCCATGTTGCATAGTTAATCTGCACTGCATAGCTTATTCTGTGTTGGTAAGAGCTATTTCTAGGTCATAGAAAGCTAGGAATATGAAATGCATCTTTAAAAAAAATCTGAAAGAAAAGCATGGGTTATCTATACAAACCTGTTTTGTCCGCTAACTTTCGTTTTTGTGTTTTTGTCAAATGTTCTTTTTTCTCTTTTTTCTTACTTGACTGTGGTGCATCAGGCTGACCAGTTGAGATGCAATTGTTCAATGCTGTCTAAAAATGTAATTTGTTAGTAAGAATTTTCTGCAACTTATTGGCACTTCATATTAGTTTCTTCTCATTCTAGTTTTTCCTGCTTTCTCCATATGGTTCAAAATAACCATATGGGTCAAAATAACAACTTCAGATCTTCAAGCAGAAAGCAGAACTGTTTGCACACAATTGTAGCATTTATTGGTAAATCATAGCTTAATTATAGGTTATTCAGGGATACACAGTATAGGTTTCAGGAACAACCTATAAATTGCCCTGTTTGTAGGATGATAGTGTGACATCTGAAACTGAATATTTTGCATTATTTAAAGGTTAAGCAACCCAAAGTTAACCTAAGAACAACCCATGTTAATTGTTACTTTTAGGTTATTTAACCTATGAATAACTGAGTGATGGGTTCTCATGACTGAGGAAGGAAAATAAACCAGTGTAGCTTATTTTCCTGTCCTGCCTATGCTGGGCACACACTGCCAAATTACTGTTACATTGTTCAAACTTGAAAAGGTACATGGAAGGAAATGTGTTTGCACATTGACCTGGAACCTATACCGTATTCTTGGGTTGCAGGGTGGTTTGTACACTGCCTCTGCTAGATTTGGGCAACCTGCCAAATTGTTCCCAGCGAAAGATAAGGGCAGGAGGAGGACTTGTACTCACCCTGCTTGAGGGACCCTGTGGGCAGCTGGATTCTGTGCGCAGTTCCATTCATGTGTATGGAATGCTGGACTAGACAGACCTTTGCTCTGATCCAGCATGGCTTTTCTTATATTCTTAAAGGTAATTTGGAGGCCCATGACAAATATGCACAGGTTGGTGTAAGAAACCACAGTGGCATTATTTTCCTTTCCCAATTATGTACACCTGTCCAGAATGTCCGAGTTTGGATGTCACACTAACAGCCTACAAACCTGCTTCCCAGTTTGTTGCTGCAAACTGGAAGCAGTTCACATGCAGTGTGTGTTCCCCATGCAGTTATGTGCAAACCAATCATTTTTTCCAGTCAAAACGTTACATTTGCTGGAAATGAAAATTCATTATCAGAGAAATATATTTGTTCTTCAACTAAACATTATCCTTGTTGACAACATGTACAAATTTATTTGGCATAACTACTATTTTTAATCACTGATCTTTATTTAGTTAATGAACATAATAGTCAAAGAACAGACCATCACATTTAGCATCAGTCTCCAGCATCCTAGTTTGTATCCCTAACAAATGGTTACATGATCGGAATGTAAAAGATTTATAGGAACTTTTAATACCAGTTTGTTTCACGTCAGCTTCATTCAATTCAATAGATCCACAACTGAAGTGATAAGCTTACCACAATATTAACAGGATGGTTTTCCATGAACAGCTCTTTGTTATCTTTGGCATATTCAAAAATTGTGTAGGTCATAGAAGTTCCAAGGTTAACTTCAACTTCCTCCATTAATTTGTCCAATATACTTTGCTTTATGGCTGAGGATCTAGGAAAGATAATAGAATTTCCTTACATAGGCAAATGAAGAATAAGGTGATCCCAGAGGGAAGATACTTGTAAGTTTCAAAAGCTGGACTACCCACATGGCATTGTTGAAAAATGCATCCATAGATATGACAGGAGCTGTCAGAGGGTATGTTTCTGGCCATGATATTTCTATTAGAAAGGCTTTAGGGTCTCCATTTTCACCTATCTGAAAAAAAATCACAGGTGTTCAGGAATACAGACAATCTGAGTCAATAAATCAATAAAATGAATACTTGTCTTGTAAGAAGGGTCCATTTCTTATACCCATAGCTGAATTTAATTTTCAAGTAGAACTGTTTCCTCACAAAATACTTCATATCCAATCAATACAGACATAATGTAAGTTTCATCTGAACACAGTGAGACTTATTTCTGAGTAAACAAGCATAAGAATGTACTTCAAAATTACCTTTAAACATAATTTAATATTTACAACACAATATTATTTTTAAAGCTTAACATAGCTTTGAACCTTCATAGAAAGCAGCAGGTTTATGTAGCTTTGCTGAGGAACATGGTGGTATGATGGAATCCCTGGAAACTATGAAAAATATAAATCTTTAAGGCCAGTTTCTAGTTCTTATAGGAATGTAAAGATGCCTCATATTGAGTCAGACCCTCAGTCCATCTACCCAGTATTGTCAACGCCCAATGCCAGTGGTTCTGCAGGGTCTCAGGCAGGGTAATTTAAATCCAGCCCTACCTGGAGGTGCCAGGAATGAACCTGGATCCTTCATTCTGCATGCAAAGCAGCTGTTCTACTCTGAGCTATGATTCCTCCTTCCAGTGTCCATATAACATTTCAGCACATTTTCACCCTTATAATTGAATTATGAACTGTCTCAAATATGTATACACCTCTTTCAAGTCGATATAAACTACTTGTAATTCATATGTCCTCATACACACTCCAACTGCAGACCTTTCAACCGGCAGCCCAGAGGCTCAGTGGTTCAACATGCCGCACCACCATCTCCCCTTAGTTCAAAGCTGCGTGACAGGGTGAGAACCCACTGCCTTGTCCCTGGCTCTTATCAACCCAGCAATATGACAGCATGTAATGCAAGTAGATAAATAGGTGCCACATGACCACGGGAACATCTTTGGACAGCACTGGCTCACGGCCATAGAAATGGAGATGAGTGCCGCCCCCTATAGCCAACCAGCTAGTGGGGTAAAATCTTCAGGGACTCCCTTTCCATACACACTCACCCTATATTGAAAAGAAACTGGGCTAAGTTCCCTGAAACATTCATCACCTTCATAAATTGAACGTAATGCTTCTAACTCCATCTGAAAGAAAGAAAATGGTTAACAGTTAAAAATCATAAATCTGTAAAAGGCAAATGAAAGTCATAAGTGGAATACCATAACAGAAATAGGGACATTCAGATAAAAGTGCTGGCTTGTGGTTTAAGTATCATAACCTGCATCATAACCTCTTAAAATGTGTACAGTCTATTTCAATATTACTACCTGACTTAACTTCATCTTCAATTTTATTTGTAATGGTAGGGTTTTTTTAAAAAGTATGTTGAATATGAAAACCTTACGAGAAGAATAATAAAGCCACATTAGGTATAGTACGTTAAGTGGAAAATGAAAGGAATATGAGAAAAGATAAACAAATGCTTTCAAGCATGGATGTGGTCTACATCCCACTACAGCCAATGACACACCTTTTAATGGTTCTGAACTAAGCCATACATGTTACTCTTTATCTAAAAAATGAATTTAAGAAGGAGTTAACTCATTTTTCAAACAAGCTTATATTAGATGCATACACTTGCTGAAAGCTTGTACCTGATTTTTCCTGTTCTCTCTTTTCTGAACCACTGAGCCTCATGACATAGCACAAACTACTTTGGAATGGCCTCTGATTTTTCCTGTGGCAAAATTCTTATGTATGCAAGCTCAAAGCCCCCCAGAGTGTTTCCCCTGTAGCTATTTCTAGACAAAATTAAAATGAGAAATCATAAAAATTATCTTTATATCATATAATTAATTGATGAATAATACAACACAAATTATTTTGCTGAACTAAGAATGTAATGAATGCATAATTCTTGGGTTATCTACTGTGTAACAAAAGGAAAGGTAGCTGACTTGTCTTTGTGAAATGTTGGGTTCCATAATGTATATAAATGTTGATCAACAATAAAATTGGTCTCACCTGTCTTCACATGGCACAATGAATTGAGATATCATAAAGACATTGAGCTTTATACTTAGATCCTTTTGAGACAGGCTTTAGTAAAATACTTCTCTAGGGTTGCCTTAAAGCAGATTGGACAATTTGTTAACTCACTTTTTCTATTTGGACTAACAGTGACTCTCCCATTTACAGTCAGCAGTCTTTCACTACACTTGCTACACTTCAAAAATTGAAGATGCTGGGAACACAAACACCATCATTTGTCTCCTCTTTCAGTTGGGATACAATATACTTATCCGGTGATCATAATCAATCACTGTGGGTACCTCACAAAAATTATCCTAGCATCTTTAAGCTAGCTACTTCTTCCTCCACTGCACCCTTGGCAGGACTGTAACACCTGTCACCAGTGTATAATGGTCAAAGCCTCAGCAGCAGAAATGCACCCTGTACGACAGCCTTGCCCAACTGTATGTTTTTCAGATATTATGGACTCCAGCTTCTCTAAAATCCCCAGTCAGAAAGATGGCTGGAGAGAGCAGTTGTCACCCAACACATCTGAATGGCACCAGGCAGGGAACAGGCTGTTGTGCAGGGAAGAAATTCATCTGTTAATTTTCTAGGCACTGTGCAATTGAGAAATCCGCCTTCGAAATGTTTTGGGTTCTTGACCGTTAGCCATGGTGGTTGGGGATGATGGGAGTTGGGGTGCAAAACAGCTGGAGGGCATTAGCCTTGGGAAGGCTGAGCTAAAGCCACGCCTGCACCCTCCCTCCTTCCCTCCCGGCACCGTCAGGAGGCTGGACCGTGGAAGGCACGGGGGCGGGGGGGGGGAAGCACTTGCTCTCCCCGCCCCTTCAAAGGCGCCGTAACCCCTTCGTTGCCGGCGCGTGGCTCCCCGCAGCCTGGCCTTTTCGCCTCCCCCATCTCTCACCTCCTGGTCCTCGTTGGCCGTCATGGTGCGACGCCGGAGAATACGGGGCTCTTCCCTGGATCCTTTTCTCCGCACCCTCTTCCACCGTCCCTCGGGGATTGGAACCTCTGCCCTGCCACTACGATAGAGTAAGAGCCGCGCACCCTGACTGACCCTCTCTGCGCACGCGCAAAAAGTGACAAGAGGGGAGGAGGCGGTCACGGCCGTACCGCTCATTGGACAGTGTAACTATCCCGTTCAACTTGTTCTGGCTAACTATTGGCCCGGTTCTTTTAGCCGCGCCCTCCGACTTTCTTCGGCTTCCCCAAGGCTGGGGCGGTCCTTGGTCGTAGGCCCCGCCTCCTTGTCATGCCTCTTTGCATTGGCCCTTAGGTTGAACTTTAACTCTGCCCGCCCTCGAGCGCGTTCCAATACTCGGCTCCGCTTGCTTACTATTCTCTGCGCTCATTGGTTAGCTGGAGTTGTCACTCTCAGCTGGTCGTCTCCCTGCGCGCTTGTCGTCTTCCTCACTCAGGCCTCTGGCAGCAGCTTGGAACGTTGCATCTCTTTTGTGGCAGGACCGGGCCTTTGTATGGCCGGTGTCACCGGAGACTGAGCGTGATCCTGGCCGTCGGCGCAGCCGAGGGTGAGGTGCGTCTTCCTCGCGGGGGAGGACCCTTGGGAGCGGGGCTGAAAAGGCAGGGTGGGTGGGGGGTCTGGCTGGCAGGTGTGGGGAGGGAAAGGGCAGGGCAGGGCATGTGGAGAGGGCAGATATGCTCAGTCAGAGAGAGCACGGCTGGCTCCAGCGGGTGGCCAAGGAGAGCAAGTTTAGCCCCTTCAGGTGAACAGGGACCCGCTCAGTAAGTCGGAAGAAGCCTTCTAAAAGGCGGGTTGATCCGTGTTAGCATTGTTACGGGAAAGGATGGCAGTGCCTTTTAGTGTGCACGGACTGTGGCGATGAAGACCTCAGTTATATGTATGGGTTATTCCTACAGTAGACCAACATTCCCCAAACGAATGCAGGACTACAGTTCCCAGCATGCCCTGGCCAGCTGTGTTGGGGGTTGTCTAACACTTCTAGATTCACACACCACGATATGGAAGATTGCAATAAAGTTACTGAAGTCGGTGGCATTTCGGTTAGGTCTGCCCTAGATATAACAGTGCCTGGGGTCAGCTCATTTCAGATCTTTTACTTAAAGTTTCCAGAGCTCCCAAGGTGGCCGTTAAATTAACATGATAGACTTAATCCATTCAAATTATAGTAGCAGCAAATGAAGCTAATGCAGAAATAGAGTTAAAAGTGCACAGCATATTTAATTAGCGTTTGGGCTGGCTTGCTACATTCACTTTTTACTCACTGTTTTGTTCTTCCTGCTTAAAGGACCACCTGGCAAGGTTCCCTAAAGTCTTGAAGCAGATCTGGGAGAAAGTCTCACACATTATGTATCTCACATTAAAAGTCTGGTGGTGGGTTTTACAAAGGAGTAAGATGAATACAAGCACACACCACAAGGGATTTAACCCACATTGTCCTTTTCATTGTTTAAAAATGATCTTAAACAGGCAACCTATTGAAGTACTCAGGAGTAGCAATAAAGTGGCCTACAATGCCAGGCCACGGCTTAGAGTTCTGCCTTGCCTTTCTACCTATTTCACCTTAGGCTGGGAAGGGTGGAAGAGAGATCCCCAAATGTTCTAGATTTCAACTCTGAGAAGCTCCTGCTAGCATGATCAGTGTTCAGAAATTCTTGGATTTGAAGTCCAAAATATCTGGAAATCTACATTCGGCTCACTCTAAGGTACACAGGGCTGTCATGAGATGTCTTCAAGAACCTAGATAGGTTATATCTCTTCCTTTTGAATTGGCTTTTGATACACTTGTCCATAAGGCTGAATTATATTGCCTTAGACAAACACATTCATGAGAGGTCATGCATGCTCATCACTTGGATTTCCATGCACAAATAAAATAAGTTGGACGTCAATGTCCGTTAGTCCTTGAACTTTACATCATTTACATCAGTACCTAAAGGTTGTTTCCTGGTTTGGGATCAGTCCGTCAGCTTTACATGGGAACATTTTGATCAAGAAGTTATAACCCCTACTTGTGGAGCATCCCAACCTATAAATCCAACAACAGTGGTAATGTTAGTAGCAGTCTATGAGTGGATATCTGAATTTTTGAAATTCTACCTTTCCCTTCCAAGTGCAATCTGAATAGTGGAAATTGTTTAATCCTTATTTTAATATGCAACAGTATTATACATTAAATTCACCTGTATTGTCAGCTTGCATTTTGGATAGGAGAAGAGTAGAAGCCAAACTTACAGGGAAATTTAAAAACAACTTTTAAAGAATTATTTTTGCATCTTTTTACTGTTTTAGACTTTTATTTTCCCAAGTAATATGTCAGAATATTTGTTGGAAGATTAAAAAATTCTTTAAATGTATATGCTTTCTATTTCAGCTTTAACTCTACCCTATCAAGATGAGTCCTTCACAGTGGGATTTTCCAGTGGAACTATGTTGCCGGCCTATGGCCTTTGTTACACTCACAGGCTTGGATGTAGTGTATAATGCTGTTCATCGGGCAGTTTGGGATGCCTTTTGTGCAAATAGAAGAGCAGACAGAGTACCAATTTCCTTTAAAGTACTCCCTGGTGACCATGAGTATCCTAAATGTAGAACAAAGGTATTGCTCTAAGTTTTATAATATGAAAATCCAGGTATATGTGTTGACTTTATATTGTGAATCAGTTGTTATTTGCAGTGATTCTTTGTATGCACTTGAATGTTATTTAATGTTGGAATTAACATTGTTAAAGAGATGCTTTTAAATACAAAGCTATAGAACTATAGCTTAAATCAAAAATCTGAATTATTGAGAGTGCAATCCCATGCATGATTCAACATAGGTCTCCTAAACATGCATAGGAGTGCACTTTAAATCAACTTGAAACTCACCTCTGTATCTTGCACATAACTGCTTAACTCAGAAGCAAGCCCCTTCAGTTTAGTGAAGGGTATCCTCTAGTGCATGTCCATAAGACTATAGGTTTAGGGTAGATTAGAAAATGTGTGTGCAAACAGAGGGCAGCTCACCTTAAGTTAATTAATGCTTGCAGAGAACATCATATGAATGGTACATTCCAAAAGGCATTTTGAAGACTGGCTGGATGAACAAGCATTTGAACTTGGTGCCTGCACTTGTCGTGGTGTTCTATGAACTAGATTGGGATGAGCCACAGTGGAAAGAAAAACAGTCAGAGTGTGCTACTAGAGTTGAAATTGTCAGGTATAATTTTAGTTGATTTCTGAAGTCTTAATAATACTTTTTTTTGTTGTTGCTTAATTTAAATGTGTCTAGAAAAAGTCATGGTACTTTCTTCCATGGCGCTTTTAACATAGTTGCTGCTGACTTCCACATGGGTGATGGGTGCTTTAAATCAGAAGTTTTATCATTCTAAATTGCAATGCTGAGAACTCTTCAACCTATTTTGTTTCTGTTCTGCTTTTAAGAAATTTGACACATAGCAAGTAATATTTCTGTCTCTGAGCCACATGAGATTTTCATTTGTTGTTGTCTGTCTTAACAGAGAACAAGATATGTCTCCTAGTGGATTAAGTTTTACTGCACTTAATTTTTCAAAATATATGGTATCTTGGGAGAATTAAAAGTTCCACGTAATGCAGTTCTCAATTTATGTATGCTTTATGTATTATTCTTACAGGCAGAGTTTGCAGGGAAGAAACACAAAAGTTGCTGTAGTTTTGATTCAGAAGAAAACGCCGTTACCTCCTGGTAAAGTATATTTTGACTTGAGTTAAAAGTCAAAATGGTCAGGTTTGAGATAAACACAGGAATCTAAAATTATTACACAGATTTTTTTATTGAAAGGCAGTGCAGATCATATGAAAATGTGATATAAAGTATGCGTATAGGTTGAATTTTTTTTGTGTTGCAGAGCTACATTGTGTAGTATACAGTATCTGCATAAGATTGTATTTTTCTAGGAAACATTTTAAATTAGAATACAGACAGAAGAGACATTTTAATAAAGAAGCATTGGCTTAGATCCCAAGAAAAGTTACCTTAAGGGAGTTTACAGTAAGGAAAGTTTCCTGTTTCCTCTTCCCTACTGCAACTGCTTGTGACCACTGAGAAGTCTCTTTGAAGGACTGATGGGCCCTCCTGAATAATGTGAGATCGGATGGGTGGGAAGGTGGAATTACACAGAATTGGCTGGGGTGATTTTCTTTCCTCTAGCAACCATGCTCACAGGGGTCTGGAGAGCCTCCAAAGAGGTTTTTGTGAGGAGCTCAGGTGGTTACAGGGGGGAGTGTAAGAAGAAACTTTGCTTCCCTGGACTTCCTTATTTCTCTGGGGAGTCAAACCATTTAATGTAATAGAAGTTAAATTGAAAAAAACTCAAATGTGTTAAATTAAATAATTAGTTTTTTAGATAGAGAATGATAGGGTATGTGAAGATGCTTTGAGGTTCCCCATGGTATCTAGTAATACTGTTTCATGATCAAAATCTTCTGAAGAGCAATTGTTCATGTAAATAATTTTGTAGGAGCAACATATCTAATATGTTTCTCAATTCATATTTCAAAGCAAAGGCATTCCAGTGGTGCAGGTTATCTGAACCACAAATTAGTTCCACAGTCAAGCAGTCAAGTCATTGACCTTTCTCTATTAATGGATCAGAAGATCATTCCATTTGGTGCTTTCCATGGTAACTTGTGAGAGAGGAACATTGCTCAGTATGGCTTGTGAAGGCTCTGCTGCAGTGAACTACAGAGATTTGTCCAATTTTATATTTACCCAGACAGTTCTAAAACCCACTCAGTGAAATGGTTGACTGACCAATCAACTATTTCACTGAATGGTTTTTTGTCCGCTTTTGAATCATACATCCTGCTAGTCACTCTGTCAAAGAAACGTGGGTTCCACCATGATAGAAGCAAATAGTCTATGTTCTTTAAGGACATGTGTTTACTTAGAGGTGTTCTGCTATGTATTTCTCATTAAAATGTGTTAATGGTGTTGGGAGTAAATTTTATTCCTATGGCTTTTCAAGCACAAACAAATATTAACATTCTATTAAAATGAACATTGTGATAATGTTGAGTATAAACTTTACTGCCATGGTAACTGTAAATACAAAGATAATAAATTTTAAAAATCAGTAGCATCACGTTATGAAAACTGTGTGTCCCACCTCTACTACATTTTTGTCCCACTCTTGGTATATATACCAGCAATTGAGAACAACTGGTCTAATGTATACTGTTTCAGACAAAGTAGAACACAATTTATTGTTTTATAGATGTAACTTAATAAATTTTGTGTAGGTGGTGGATTAAGGTTGTTGAAATTATTTGTTGATGTTTCTTGTGGGTCTTTTTAGGGGAAGATGTTATTGCTTCTGAAAGAGCAGCAGCTTTATGTAATGCTTGTGACCTCTCTGGAAAATCATTGTTTGTTTTGCCACACACTGATCATCTTGTAGGTTATATTATAAGGTAAATAAATTATTGTAGAGGCAAGCTTTTATATGTATTTTTCTTGGTGAAGTTTGAAATCCTGTTCATCTTATTTACAGTTGCTTATTTATATCTGCTAAAATGTCATTATTTACCACCTCCATTCAATATTTTGAATGTCTGTGTGCCCTCTTTTTATGTTGCTGCTATAAATATAAATCTGCCTATCTTTTGAGATTTCCTACTAAAGCCTTCCTTCAGGTTCCTCATTTGAGATCAATATCCAGCAACAAACTAAGAGGGATTTTTCAACAGTTGCACCCCAGCTCTGGAGCAGCCTCCCGTGCTCACTTGACACTAATACTGCAATCACTCGGGTCAGGTGAAACCAGGGATTTTAGGCTGCAATCCTGTGCATGTTTAGACAGATGATCCTACAACTCCTAGCATTCCTCAGCTAGTCTTTTTTTACATGTTTTCTAGTTGCAGTTGTGTTATTTGTTGTATACTACCCTGAAATCCAAAAAACGACTGAATAGTGGTAGAAACATATTTTAAATACTAATTTTAGAATGGGAGTTTGTGATTGAACCAGATGTTCTAAATCTCACTTTCATAATAGGAATATACTATCCCTATATAAGCTATATATTTTCTATAATCTGCCCTAAATTGACGATTTGAGCATGTAAAATTAAAATATAGACAGGGAGAATTTTGAACAACTTTTGTGGGGAAATCTCAGAGATTCATTCTAGCAACTTGTTTGCCAGGTTTATTTTCAGAATGTAGGAAATTGTTCCAAACTGTAATTTATTTTCTCTGTATCCTGCACAACCCCTTCTTGATTTTGTTTTTATGAAGTTGTTTACCATTTCTTTCATAGGTTAGAGAATGCATTCTATGAACATGCACAGACCTACTACTATACAGAAATCCGAAGGGTGAAATCTCATAAAGAATATTTAAACAAAACAACACATCAGGTACACCTAACAATTTATATTAGAATAAACTGTCTAGTGTTGCTCAAGTATTTAGAAGTGTAGAATGCACTACCCATTTTGATGTGTAATTTTTTTAAAGAAGATATTTTCTGAATACTCCCATTAATCAGATTTAAATGATTTAAACAGTTTGAAATGTTGCAAATTGGTTGTGTTGCAGCTTTTATTCGTTAGACATCAGTTCAAAATAGCATTCTTCAGTGAGCTGAAGCAGGACACACAGAATGCTCTAAAGTAAGTACCCATGCAAAGACATACTCTATTATTTTACTCCCCTCCACACCAAATAAAGACTAGATTCTCATTCATTTGTAGGAGAGCTTGGGATGAGAGATAGAGAAAAGGCGAATGCAGTTTTACTACTGTTTTTAAAGCAATGTGCTGCTTTTCTCCCTGGGTAGATATGTGCACCATTTCTGTTCTGTCCTCCATCAAGAAACATGGTAGAAAGAGGAGCAGTGTGCCCCTTCAATGCCAAAAGGGATGCATTCACTTCAATGTGAATGAATTCTTTGGCATACAGTTGGAACACTGGTTTCTTTCTGGAATGTTTATCTAAGAGGGGGCATAACAATGCTATAGCTGCAAGATTTAAGGCAGATTGGTTTGCCTTTCTTTGAGTAAATACAGTCTTGCAGAATGTCACATCAAGGATTTATCCTGAGGATAAAGGGCAACACCAGGATTTGCTGCATTCATTTTGGACTTTTCTAGATTGTGTGTTCACTATTTCTGTTTGTACAATAAATGAATATAATTTCTTATTTAGAAACTACAGAACTGCATATAATCTTGTACATGAATTGAGAGCTCATGAAACCAATATGCTGGAAATCAAGACAATGGCAGGATTTATAAATTACAAGGTAATAACTGTTGGTTTAACTTTAAAGATACACACAGAAGCTAGAGAACTAAAACTAAAACATTAGTTATTGAGAGGATTGCAAATGTACTAAATAAATTGAATAAATAAATAAAATAATAAACCTGTACTGATTCTTACATTGGCTCGAATACATGTTCTGTGTTGCTAGTCTGGGGACATATTTGTGCTTTATAGCAGGGGCAAACAATTAATTTCTTCTTCCTGAGGATGGCGTGTGGAAGTGGCCAGAATCCCTTCCCTCCATTCTTTGATCCCTTCCCTCGCTTTTCCTCCTTACTCTTCCTCCCCCCTTTCCTCCTCCTCCCTCTCACACAGGCATCCTTTCCCCACAAAAGCAACTTGTCTTCATTTCAGCATACAGGGACTGAGATATGCTAAAACACAGAGCAGGGGTGGCCAGACTTGCTCAACATGTAAATGTCAGATGTCTGAGAGTTGCAAGCAGGTGCCTGCAGGTGGTGGCTGTGGGTGGTGAGTGGCAAGTGGGCGCTCACGGACACCCACAGGTGGCAAATCACAAGCCACAAAATAAAGAACCTCAGTCTGGCCACCCCGACATAGAAGTTGGAGGTATAATGCTAGTAACCTGCCAGTATTTTTGAATATAAGATGTCCTTGATATTCTGCTCCCTTTTGGCACTTTGTTGGACAACTTGTAGCAGAAATTCTTGACGAATAATTTGAGGGACAGGACCACTTCACAGTAGGATATCTTGAATGGAAGGAGCCCTGCCTAAGGATGCAGTGTAGGCAGAATGAACAAGTAGAGTTCCTGCTGAACACAATGGCCTGCCTTTATGCCCTACACAGCAGTAGAGTGAACAGGAAAAGGGCTGACATGTGGCTTGAGTTTTGGGCAGACCTGATCCAAAGTGGTCTGCGTAAGAGAAGAGGTTGAGCCTTGCTGTGAAGATGGGAAATAATAGTAGCCTTTTAGCTTGGATAGGATGGATATTGAGGCGTGCTGTTCGTATTGACACAGGTTCTATTCAGATCACATACCAAAGCATAATGAAGGAAGCATGGCATGTTGTCAGCATATACAGAATGTAGTTATGGCTGGCGCCCTCCCTCTGGAGCTTTGTGCTATGTTTTGACACACACGTGCTGAAGAGACAAGCAGCTCTAAGCCATGGTTTTTCTAGTATGGTTGGCCATGCTTTGATTCTAAACTATGGTTACTACAAACCTTGGCTTGGTGTAGGAATACAGCCACTGTGTAACTGAGCCTCCACATAGTCATGAGGAGTAGTATCCAGTGAGTGAAACAAAAGTAATGATATGGTCCTGAGATTTGAAAGATGGTGAGGTGCTCAGTGGTGCAAACAGTCATTTTGGGGGCCAGAAATAAATTAATGGGGCCACAAATAGTAAACAGTTTTCTAGTTGTCAATTAATGAAACTTGTAAATTGCATAAAATACACGAATTGAATGTATCTGATAATCATACTCCTTAAATCATTTCCCATTTCTAATCTGATTTGTTCCTTGACATATATATTGTAGTGCAGTTTTCTGCATTACAGAGGGGAAAAGGATAGAGACGACCAGACAATATATAACGCTAACTTGCATACTGTATTGTTAGCATTAACAACAAATTGTATTGTTCTATAAAAGTGAATCTGATAGTTGTAAAATATTTAAATCAAAGTGCTCTAATTTCATCTTTTTAGATTTGTCGCCTGTGTTTTCAGCATAATACACCACTGGATGCAATTGCACAGTTTAGAAAACATATTGACTTGTGCAAGAAAAAAATTGGGAGTGCAGAGTTGGCTTTTGAGCATGCTGCCTGGATGTCAAAACAGTATGTTGTCCTATCAGTAATTATATATTGTGGTTAGTGAATAAGTGGTTAGTGAATAAGTGGAGTGATGCAAGCTGAAATAAATTTACTGCTGTTTGCTTCAAAACTATTTTATAATCCTTTTTGTATTTACTGTCATCATCTAATTCTGTGAAGAAGATTGTCATCATCCTTGTTATATCAAGAAGGAGGTAAAGCTGAAAAAATCACTTGCCTGTTGCTGCTTAGCGGATAAATTGGGACATTGTCAACCAATGTTACTCTAGTCCAACTGTAAAACACTTTTCTTTGGATAAAACTGAGTTTATTTTTTCTTGTGCTGAAAACTTAATTTCAGTAGACTGTTTTGCACAATCAAACCAGCCCACCATGGCTTATTCAAGCCATGATGGGTTGTATGCCAGCCATGGAGATCTGAACATTCATTGTTGTGCCATGTGTACCCGTGTGGTGAGAGTTGTACAAGGGTTAAGGATTCTTCACATAACCTTACAACAGGTCATGACTTGTTTAACCCTCACACAACCCTTGTTGCCTGAGTTTGCATGACATGACAAGCTGTAGCAGATCTGTGAATATTCAAAATTTGAATCTTTGAATATTCAAAGATCCAAAGGCATGTTGTGTAACCCACTGTGTTTATTTTATATAAGCCACAGTTGGTTTTTTGATCATGCAAGGCAACCCAGAGTTGTCTTGTTCCTCTTGGTCTTACCATGGATGTTCCATAGTATGTGTTTGATGTGAAGTAACATTATTTTGCATATATATTGCCTTCATCAGGATTCTGTAAACTAAATGGAGACCTTTTAGTGATAGAGTAATACATCTTTTACTATGACTCAGTTTGCATGTAATGACGACCAATGTAGTAGAGAATAAGCATTACAGATGTTAAACAATGAATGAAGAAACAATGAAAGAAACCTATAATAGAACATTTGCTGTTTGTTCTTGTTTTTAAATTGTTCAATTTTAGAGCAAATTTGTTCTATATTTTCAGAGTTTCCTATGTAGCTATGAAAAGTGGAAAGCTTGATTTCTTTCCTTAAAATTAGGACTCTCAAGAATTCTGGAGGCAAGATTTTTTGTGGCCAATGATTACCTATTCTGCTTCTGTTTTCAGCTCAATTTCTTCAAAATTTTTAAAGTGTGTCTGTCTGGTTTTAAAAACAGATTCCAAGCTTTTGGAGACTTGTTTGATGAAGCTATTAAACTTGGATTGACAGCCATACAGACACAAAATCCGGGTTTCTATTACCAGCAGGCAGCATACTATGCTCAGGAGCGAAAGCAATTGGCTAATATTCTCTGCAATCATGAGGTGAGTCATGGACTGTCTTATCATGATGTAAGATCCTGTGTAACAGCATAATTTTACAAGGTTTTCTGGGCCAAGTAGGTGTAGGTTTTTGTATTTTCGTGATGTCATATAGTTACTTGTGCTTCTGTGTGCTGTCAGTTGTATAAATACTGATATCATAAGGTTTTCTTCATGCTGTTAATGCTTACTGTGGTTGCACAACTTTAATCGAAAGTCTGCACACTTAATTATAGGTGTGTAGATTATTTTGTTTATCATGCTAGGTGTAGATCACCATGTGCTTGCTCATCAAAAGTTGTCTGAGCAAATAAGAAAAGGGAAATTAAATAAGCTATTTTATATCTTGAAATATCCTTGACATGTCCAAGTCTCTGTGGCCTGATTTGCATATGGCAGTAGCCCAGAGTATGAGTTGACATTATGTACATGCCCTTAACTGTGCTTTAACTAGGAATTGTTAACCATGAACCATAATTTACAATCCAGCAGCAAATCATGGGTTATCTTCCTAGGTTGTTTATAGTTAACCTATAGTTAAACAAGGTTTGTATGTAACAAAAACCCATAGGGTTGATGCCTTGTGAGAACCAGATCATTTAGTTGTATCAGGACTGTGAATGAATTATGTGGAACATAGGTGTTTCCTAGTAAAAGCAAGCTGTAGGCAAATCCCAATTATGTATGTAAGATTGTATGCACAATCCTGTGTTCAAATGTAAGTGTATGACATTGATTGCTTTTGAAATAGTTTAAGCATATTGTCACTTTATTGCTTTAATGTCTGGAAAGTATTTTTGCAACTTTGCCCTACATGGTACATTGTATTGGGTGTGGGTTTTGATCTTTTGTAGCACAAATCATTTGGGATGTTTATTTCTTGGCTTGCATGTTTCATTATTGCTGCTTTTACACACTTTAAAAATGATACTTTTATACTTTTTAAAGTTTATCTTTGCTGGATTTACAGCCTTCTGTGACATATCCCAGTCCGGATCCACTGGAAACTCAAACTGGAATGCTTGACTTCTATGGACAAAGACCATGGAGGCAGGGAATACTAAGTAAATTTTTCCCTATTTTATATCTACAGAGCCTCAACAACACAAATCAAACTGTATCCAAAGCTTAATAGATTCCCATATGACAAGGTTTGCAAAGGCAACCCAAGGCAATTTGCCCAGTGTTGCTTATCTTACACTGCTGTACACAGCATTAAAATAATGTGCCCTAGAATAAGGCATTGTTGTCTTGTAGATGGGCTGTAATGAAGTCAGTAGCCATGATCTGTGTTGGAACCTGTAACCTTAGGGAAATGTAGTTGGCAAGTCTGGAAGCCAAATCTAGGTTGACAAACAAGACACCAAAGTAGCTTTTTCTGAAATACAACCTGTTTCACACTCAAGGCCAGTAAGATGGGCAAAGCTGAAGAATCTCAATGCATGGAGAGAGGAGGGGTTCAGATTTGTTATACAGTTTTAGGACAAACTAGGTCTCTAAAGAGGGACAGCCTTCACCTGATCCAAAATGGAACCAAATTGCTGACACTTAAAAACATGGCAAAGCAACTTTTAAAATGAACACTGGGGGAAAGTTGGCATGAGCTGGGAAGCACTTGGTTAAGGTTGAATGTAAAAGGAATGAAAATATTTCTGATTGCCCAAATGAGGTTAGGAATGGCCAAAAGCATATGATGAACCATGATAACCAGAGAGGCCTAAGGGCCATAGGAGAAGATGCACAGGCCAGAGCCATCAGCTGGTCACACTTGCACAAACACACCACTTGCTTGTATACAAATGCTAGAAGACTCTGAACCAAAACAGGAGTGTTGGAGTTTATTTGAAAGGTGATGTTTGGGCTTTCTTAAGAGCAATCATTTTCCTAATACACCTTTCATAAAGCGTGATGCTCAAATATATTTCATATATTAATATTTTCAGTTCTTTGACCTTATCTGTTAGAGCAGTCTGTTTAAAAGAACAAAGAATATTGCTGGGTTCTGAAACATTCTTTCTACTATGATACAATAGTGTTTGCAATCTGAGCACCCTTGAATTAGAACCAGGCCTGATTCTAACCTAGATATATTAAAGTGTGTACAATTTATTCTGAGGCCACACAAAAATCATTAGGATGGACTTTTCATTGTCATTTGCAGGTTTTGATCTTCATGATCCTGAAAAGGAAAAAGTAGGAATTTTGGCATTGCAACTGAAAGAGAAAAAAGTTCTTCATTCTGTAAGTCAGATTTCAAAAATAAGGATAGTTTCTTTTTGGAAGTATAAATAAGACTATATATCAGTGCTTTCTATTCATCAGGAGCTGATAATCACTTTGCTGAGTAATGCAGTTGCCCAATTCAAGAAGTACAAATGTCCAAGAATGAAAAGTCACTTGAGTAAGTTTCAGTTGTCCAAAAAACAAAACAAAACAAAAGAACTTTTACAGTCTTTTTAATATTGAAAATAATCTAATGTTCTTTTTAGTGGTTCAGATGGGTGAAGAATATTACTATGCTAAAGATTACACCAAAGCTTTGAAGTAAGTATAATTTTATAAATGTGTACTGTATGGTTTTTGATACTTGGTTTTTGAATGTATTTAGTAATTGTAAGAAAGGGAAAAAATTTTCAGCAATCTGTAAAAAATTGGATTGTGTCTTTTGGAATTATATATTTTTCATGTAAGTGTCATTGGTTGTCCTATTCCTGTGAGGAGAGTAGGAATCATGCTTTTTGAAATCTGCTTCTGGCTTCTCTTAGTAAGAACCCGTGTGTGTTTTCTTCTTAGTAAATAGCTTCGGCAATCTTGATGGTATAGGGACTATTGAACACTAATTTATAGGAAATCAAGTGGGCCTCCTCTGCCCCAAAATTAGTTAAGGGCATGATTCAGATGAGCAGTTCTGGCCAACTATTCAGTGAACATAGACAAACCTACAGAATGGTTTGGATCATTGGTAAAGACTTCTGGTGTATCAGCATAATAGAAATATATTGAGATGTGCACATCTATGGCTATGAGGTTGTAGACATAGCTTTTGGGGAGTGTGCTTTATCTCAGAGCCCTCTTTGGGCTCCCAGCTACCATAGAGATTTCTGCAATGGCTTCTTCCCTGAGATCAAAACTCTACCCTTATAGAGTGGAGAAACGGAGCATTTTGGAAGTGTGCTGGTGAGCCGGGAGAGAGTAGCTGAGGTCCAAGAGATCCTAAGCACTTCAAGCTCCCAGCCATACCCGCAACACAGAAAACCATCTAGACGTTCTCAGGAGCATGTGCAAATGTATATCTCCCCTTGCTGGCAGAGAGAGATTTTACTTCTGCCACCCTACTTCTTTCTCAACTTCCTTCCTGCTGGCAGGTCATAGAAAGGAGTGGAGGCTTTATTCAGAAAGTGCAAGTTTGCTCTCTTAGCTTTATAAGAATTACAAGCTCCATTTGGTTGTATAAAAACCTTCTTTCTCAATCTTCTTCCAGACTGCTTGATTATGTTTTGTGTGATTACCGCAGTGAAGGATGGTGGACTCTCCTTACTTCTATCCTGAGCACAGCTCTTAAATGTTCCTATCTCATGGCTCAAATAAAAGATTACATTATGTACTCACTGGAACTCCTGGGAAGAGGTAAGGAAATGTACTTAATTTCTGTGTTAAATAATTATCTATTTTGGCCTGGGTATTTCCCAACATGGGTATATCTGCAAACACTTGGAGCTGTTCTGTATTGAGCAGTTTCTCAAAAAGGATGGCTGTAATTCTTACAGGAATTGTTCCTGGATGTTGGGCCTAGAGAATGTGAGTGGTGTATTTTTCTTGATGCTGGGTTCAGATCATGAAGCTTTTTTGTGTTTATGTAAAGTGACATTCAGTCTTGAGGGCCCCAGCCTGTGGTGGAGTTGTCAGAACATGAATTTACTATCTCATCTGTTCCTTGTGAGAACTATGCCTGTATTTCAAGTAAGATGGTGCCTGGGGAAAGTTAGCATATATTCTAGTATTCTAGAATTGTAAAAAACACTATATTGTAAATTGAAGATGGCTTTTTTCTATCTCATTAGCATCTACTTTGAAAGAGGATCAGAAGTCTCGGATAGAAAAAAATCTGATCAAAGTACTCATGGTCAGTAGGTAGAATTTAACTTCTCTGAAATAGTCCCCAACATTGATTAAGTCTGCGTATACAGCTGAACAGTTAAATTCTTGTTTTGAATTCAGAATGAGAATCCAGATCCAGAACCTGAATGTGATGTTGCTTCTGTGAAAGCTGCACAGAAATTGTGGGCTGACAGAGTTTCTCTGGTGGGCAGCAATATTTTTACAATAGAAGTTCAAGATTTTGTCCCATTTGGTATGTACCAACATTTCATAAAAAGTAACATTTGCACTTACTCATTATCAAATAATTGAAGAGATAATGGAAGTACATAACTTTTTAAACAGTCATCTGTATATTTCTGTAGGTTAGATTTGTAGTGTTCATACTCCTACTAGACTTGAAATAAGGATAATATACAACTTTTCTGGTATACAGTGAGCAGTGGTACAAAATATTTCAGATATGTTGACATATTTCTGCAGGAACCTGTTTACAGTAAAATGGTGGCATAAAAATTGGACACACTTTACATTTCTGTAAAGAAATGAACTGAGAAGATGTTCTGATAAGCCTAATTAGAGGAGTGTCATGAAGACAACTGTGCTTTTCTATAGTTCATTCTTTTTTTCCTGCTCAGAAATATCCTTTAGATCATTTTGATAGAAGTACACAAACTCAACTGTCCCTGTCAAAAATATCAATTTCATGTCAAAACCCCATTGAGTTTTGATAGTTGCCTTTTTCTCAAAAAAGAGTGAGATGCATTTTTGCACTTTTCTAAACAGCTAGATGATCAAGAAAAAGGGCAAAATGTGCAGGATCCTCAGGACAGCCAGGTGAAAAATTTGATGAAGATCTCAGTGTGAAGAGAGTCTAAATCTCTCCATCATTGATAAAACAACCCCAAGATCAAGCCTTGGGTTGTCAGGGTGGCTTATTGCCCAGACCCAAGCTGCCAAGTGGGAAATGATCCAAGTTTGTACAACACAATGCCTCACTGTGGCTTGCCATCCATAATGGGTTGTAATGTCATACAAACCTTACCTGTGTGTGTCAGTGATGGATTAATAAACTGAAACAGAAGAAGTTATTTGGGGAAGTAAAAAATACTCTGTTTCAAAGTGGTGATATAACATTCAAGTCTGCACAACAACAGTCCAATGTATTTGTACTGACAGTACTTAAGAGAGCCTTAATATGTATTTAAACTAGAAAATACTTGAATCATCAGAAATAGGAGCTGCTGAAATAGAGTAGAAATTCTCTACTGAGTAGAGTAGAATAGAGTAGAAATAGTAGAAATTCTGTCTACTGTATATTTAAATTAACTTCTTGAATTGCATATTGACAGTCTCAGCTCAAGTGTTCCTTCCCTTTAGCAAGAACAAATTAGAAAAGCTCATTCTAACTAATCTAGCACATCTGTTGTATCACTGGCCTATTATGAAATTCTCTATTTTAACAGTCATGTGTTAATAATGTGTATTGGACTATTTACGTGATTTTGTTTTTTTCTCCAAATTCTAGTTCAGTGCAAAGCCAAATTTCTTGCTCCAAGTTTTCATGTTGATGTACCAGTGCAGTTTGACATATATTTGAAAGCTGATTGCCCACACCCTATCCAGTTTTCTAAGTTATGTGTCAGTTTCAATAATCAGGTAATTTAAAAAAAACATTCTAAGAAAGATGCGTGTCTTCTTGATGATATAGATGTTGTCATATTCTGCTAATCAGTTCAGTGCACAAAATGGGCTGGTTTGCATGATCAAATCTCAGCCTAATATATCAAGATATGAATGAGCTTTATGGGCACACATGCAGCATCTTACTTCTTTTGCAGCTGAAGAAACTTTTGAGTTCATCAACTCACTATAGTTTCATCTGAACTAGGAAACTACAAGATTAATGGGTTTGCAGCAAGCCAGGATGAGAAGCCAGCTTCAGAACATGACTTCATATTCTGGTTTACTTTGGAGATGATAGAAACCTTCTTGTTCCAATTTGCTCATTTGCACAAAGGGAACAGCATATTTATTTATTTATAGCTGTTCTATACCATCGTCATTACCAAAAGTCTCAGGCATATTGGTTGCATGTGCACAAAGACTCATTTATATGTTTCCTTCATAAACCAAAATGTGGAAGTTGATGTAGCCCAGTGTCCAAAGTTGATGGAGCTTCCTTTTTGATTCATTGTTTTCTACTTTTTGGAACCTAGATCTTTCTTTATTATTGGTATTTTGAGAGCAATCCTTCAGGTTCTGAACTAATTTAATGAGATAATTAAAATGCATGTATGTTGAATTCTTTCATGGCATTTTGTGCATGCCTCTGTAAAAGAAATAAGAATACTGCTTGTACGATGTTACCTGCCAACCTCATTGTAACCCTTTGCATTAAATGAAACCTTTTTAGTCTCTCCTGCTCAGTTAGTTGAGTGTTGTAGGATAACGGATAATGTAATTTAACACATCTAGAGGGCATAAAGTTGGGGAAGGCTGATACAACCACTAGGAAGTTCCATTGAGTTTGGGGCTCATGCCAAACTAAGTGTACGTAGTTTGTAACCTAGTTGTTACTGCCCTAAATAAAGTAAGGGGTCACACAAGTGGAAATCTACTTAAACAACAGGAATCCTGTCTTTTCTTCCCTGTTGTGCATGTTCCAGAAGATTCCTCCAGCCCTCTGGAGCATAGTTAGGGTGTGTGGTAGGTTCAGCATGCTGCAGAAGGTGAAAGGAAAATCCATGTCCAACAGATCGCTTCCGGTGGTGGAAAGATTCACTTGAATGTAACCCCAGAGCAGTATTTTCTTGGAAAGTATTACTTGTTAAATTACTTTAAAATGCAATTCTGGAACACTTTTAATTGCCCTTATAGTTCCTCCTACAGGACACTGTATCATACATAAGTTTTTTATATGTTGTTACTCTGGTGTAAGTTGCATAATACATTTCATTCATAATAGCAATAGTAATTTGTTTCAGTTTTTGCTGTGTTATGTTACTTTTTTGTTCACATAGGAATACAACCAGTACTGTGTAGTGGAAGAAGCCTGCCCAAAAGGTGAAATCCTGGAACCATCCATACAGGGTACACTGTGTCTTATTCCTGGTAAAACAAAGAAGTTCACTTTCAAATTTGTGGCAAAAACAGAAGATGTGGGGAAAAAGATTGAGGTAAGTCCTCAGTGTACTCAGAAATGTTTCTTCAGACATTGTTAATCTACTTGTTTTCCCCCAGATGGTTTGGACTACAACTCCCAGTATTTCTGACCATTGTCCATGGTGATTGGGTTTGATGGGAGTTGAAACTGAAAACATCCAAAGAGCAGCAGGTTGGAGAAGGCTGCCTTTAAAAGGATGAAAGACATTGTTGATTCCAGTTGAGGAGCATGGATGCTAACAAATGGTTTGGTGTTTCAGCAAAAAGTAAATAAATAAGCTCACTTCTTCAGTCCAGTAAAGAGAATTGCAGTGCTGCACGGCTCAGTATTGTGAGTTGTGGGTGAGATTGCAACCTTGGTAACCAATGGGACGTGGCTGTTCTTCTGGAAAAGCTGGGGATACTGAAGCTAAAAGTTTTGTGCATCTCAGTAGCATTGGGAGGAATCCTACTGAGCTCAGTTTAGCTGACTCCTGAGTAAACATGCAGTTATTTTGGCATATTTCTAAAATTTTTTCACAGGTTGTGGTAGAACAAATCCCCTCACTTTTCAATATTGAACTGACACTTGTCTGTGTCCTCCTCCCATTCAGCTCTTCCTCAATTCTCCAACAAGTCCAGACACAGAAGATACTGCCTTTCCCCCTCTTTTGCAGCTCCTCTTTAGAGCAGTTCCTGCAGCATTTACCATAGAAGCTGCTTTGAAAAGGAGGGGAGAAAAGGCAAGAAGCCAGTATCTCCCCCTTTCTGGACTTTTTGGAGACTTGGGGGCAAGTACTTGAAAAACTGGAGGAAGCTGAGAAGTGTCAGTTCAACACAGAAAAACAAGATAATTACATTGCCAAGTGAGAGGAATTGTCTCTCTCACCTTTAATATTCTGACTTGCCCTGAAGCCTTTTGCTGCAACTACTTCTCTCACTCTGGTTCTTCCTTTGACAGCTGAAACATGCAGGGAAATTGGTAGCATGCACAGGCAAATGGATTGTTTGCACACACACTCATATCTCTGCTTACATCTCTGCTTACTAAGCAGGAATGATCCTCTGATCCAGCCCAATGTCTGCACTCTTTCAATTTATTGTTTTTACTTTTTGGACTCTATATCTTTTTTTTGTTAGATAGTGACCCTTCAGTTTCAGAATTGATTTAATGAGATAAATGTTTGTATCTTGAATTCTTCTGTGGTACTTTGCAAAACTGTTTGAAGATTTTGTTATACTTAGCTGCATATAAATACCACAAATAAATCAAAACATTGTGGCAGCAGGTGTCATCATTGAAGAGGCATTCCCTCTGGTGTCAAAGTGAGTTGAATACCTCTTTGAAGCTGGTGCCTGCCAACCACATTGTAACACTTTGAATTAAACTTAATACTACGTTAATCTTAACATGCTGAGCTTACCACAAGACTTGCTCTGAAAGTGAGCTTGAAACAATATCTACCCTTTTTCAACTTGGTGGAGATTTGGGGAAGTGTTGAAAAGAAGGAGAACGCTGAGAAGTATCAGTGAGAGGTACTTAAGAACAATAGGATTACTTGGCTGTGTGAGGGATTTTCTCTTTCTCCTCTTGGTGCACGTACTCCTCTTACTTGTCAGTTCCCTTCTACAGCTGAAACATGCAAGGAAATTGACAAGAAAAGACTACATATGCCAGATAATATTTTTTAAAGAACAGCCCCATATGCATACTCCTGAAGATCTGATTTTTTTTGTTAATGTGGCCGGCAAGTATTGGCCCTGCCAAAGTTCCATTTGGGCATTGGTGAAAGGGCAATCACTGGCAAGGGAAATCACAGGCAGCACTAGCAAGATTGGGAAGAGTGCCATGGGCTTTTGTGCTGCTCTTGCCAAGTGGCTTTGTAGTTCATCTCAGCAACACACAACAAAGTCCTTCTCCTAGATTCAGATAACAGAACTCACCATGGTGTGACCAAACCTCCAAGAAGCCATGGGTTTTCAGGGTGGCTTGTTTAGAATGTCCCTTATTCAGATGATACAATAACCTACTATGGCTGCTGTCCATACTGGTTGTTATGTTGTATGACTGCAGTGACCACATTCACACAACATGGTAAGCCACTCTGCCTATAAACTGTGCAGTGTGGGTTGTTCACAGAACACCCCACAGTGTGCTGATCAAGCTCACCATGGCTTGTTCTTTCCTCCTTTTTGTCTTGATCCTCTAGCTCAGTGATGGCAAACCTTTTAGAGATTGATTGCCCAAACTGCAACCCAAACCCCACTTATTTATTGCAAAGTGCTAACACTGCAATAAAACCTGAATACTGAGTAAACAGCTTTTTATTGAAAGGTAAAAGTTTGCATTTGGCATGCTTTTGCACAATTAATGTGATCTTTGCTGTTGTATTCATGCTGATACTCAAAACTCAAAGCTAAAGTCTTGTGTTAATAAAAACAAATGTATTAAAACTCACAGCCAGTCCAAGTAAATATATCTATCTATCTATCTATCTATCTATCTATCTATCTATATATCTATATATCTATCTCTATATCTCCTTGGCAGCACACTGACCAGCCATGCGAAAGCTCAGATGAGTCGCAGCTAATGAGTCGCGGCTCATGACATCATCGCCTTATGCCACGGCGCCTTTCTGAGCATCCGCATGGCCCCCATGTGGGCTTTTCACCAATGCTCAGCTGCTGGGGTGATGCTGGAACAACTTGGCTTGCATGTCGACAGAGGCCTCTGAGTGCCCGCTGTGGCACACGTGCCATAGGTTCGCCACCACTGCTCTGGCTGATATCCCAGTGCCCTTCATAGCAACACCTGTCTTCCCTTCCCTTCCCTTCCCTACTTCAATTGCTACCCCTTTTTGTTTTTCACCATTTTTAATTCTTATTTTTAGACATTTCATAAAAGTGCAACTAGGGTCTTCATTTTTTTAGGCCTGAAGGTTATGCAACTGTGCTCATCATACTCTTATGCTTACTCCTTTATTCTGCCAGTCTTTCACAGGTGTCTAAATTAAAGTACGTTTGCAGCTGTTCAATATGTGTAGTCCTGCCTTGACAATGACCTTTCAAGTTTCAGTTATCAAAGGGAAATGGAATCAGTAACAGATTAACAAGATGAGCCTAATATGGGCACAGTTGACAACTGTCAATGGACTAGAGATCAACTGAAAATGAAGTGGTGGAGGGGCTAAAGGAGGTGCACAAAATGGGAGGTGGGAACAATATCACCTCCTTAGCAGAGTAATTCTCTGGCTTTTTATTGTTGAACTGACAGTTTTGTCCGGTGCCACTTCAAAGCTACCCTGAATTTCCAGCTACTCCAGAAAGGAGAACTATTAACTCATCCATTTTTGGAGTACTTATTGCTGCAGTTACTGTGACACCCTGACATTAAAAAAAAAATCCCTGAGGAGGTGGTTGAATGGTCAGAGTGAAATTTGTCTTATGCAGGCAGCTTTAGTTATTCTTGGTCCTGGTACCCCATTTGCTCTTTCTTGCTGTGCCACATTTTAAATTTTTTTGAAATTGTCAGTAATTGCACATTTTTGGTATGGAAAATATATGCAAATTTTATAGCTAGGAGATAAATGCAGAGGAAACTTGCTCACGTGCACAACTTCTGCGTTGCTCCTCTCCACTTACTGCTCTTTCCATTCATGACAACCCATCATAGGTTGAACAACTCTAGAATAAGTCATAGCTTGTTAGGGTTGCTGCTTGCTCAAAACTAAGTGACCTTGCAGGGAGTAGCCTAGGTTCAGACAACACAATAACCATCAGTGGCTAGTTCCCCACAATGAGTTGGTGGGTTGTGTGAACCCAATCAGTCACTAAATTGACTGTGATGAGGAATAGGATACCTGTCTGTCTTTCAGATCACATCAGTGGATTTGCTTCTGGGTCGTGAAAATGGCAGGTGTGTGATGGTGAACTGGCATGGAGGAGGCGGCGATGCAGCTTCTTCTCAGGAAGCGCTGTTGGCTGCTCGTTCCTTCAAAAGGCGGCCTAAACTTGCAGATAATGAGGTTCATTGGGACAGCCTTACTGTTCAGGCAAGCACAATGTAAGTGGGAATGGACATGCATTATGGAATATGCTTTTTTCCTAGCGCAAAGGATTATGTTACTATGATATACGTACCCAATATTTTCATTTTGTTTTATAACGTTCTAAAGTACAATCCATTTATCTGATATGCTTAGGAAACCAAGTAGATTTTTTTCTACTTCTAGAATGCCTAAATAAACATATAATTAAGAAAAAATAAGGTAAGGTGATATGAAATCCCAAACCCTGTCAGTTAAAGGGGTAAACAACATAACAGTATTTGAGACTTCAGACCAGTTTTTATGGGGTGTAAATTGCTGCCTACATAAACAATGTCATTTCTTGATTTCAAGAAGCATCACAACTAACTCATGTTGTCCTGTTTTTACTAGTTTTTTTTTTTTACAGAAGCATTTCAAGCTCCTGTTTTGTTGATGTCCCTTATTACTCTTAATTGTGGTTTCTATCTTGCTCACATTACTGTGAGATTACAAAGGCTGAGAGAGAAAAACACTCAATTTTGGCATTGATAAGTGCTATTGAACAGAGTGTTGGAATGTTGACCTTAGTTTACATTCTAGCTCTGCTCAAGGAATTACATTCAAGAAGCTTTGCTTCTTCCCCTTTGTAAAATGGGAACAGTAGACATTTCTCAGTAAGATGGAAAATGAACAGATATCAGTATGAGCCCCATGTTGGCATTCAGCTACATATTTAGTTAGTAGGGGAACAGAAACAGTTGTTTTATCTATTATACTTGTGAAGAATATGTACTTTAAAGCCCATATTGAAAGCAAGTACTACGTGTAGGCCAACACCTGAAATCAACATTGCTGAACAACCTCTTTTAAACAACTGTAAGACCTTTTTTTGGCAAGAGACTGGGTTGAACATGGGGCATCTTGAGGTTCCTAGCAGAGCATCCTCAGGGCCAATTATTGCCCTCTAAAGTTCACAGGCTTGAAGTATGTGGGGAGGAGAGAGCTTGGTAGAGTTTTGAAAGGTATACAGAACAAAATGTGATTGTTCTGCCCTGCCTGCCTTGCATAGATTGCTGATGTTGCAGTCACAAGCAGAGGCTTGTGCTGTGAAAGCTAGAGGTGGGGAAAGACCAGGCTGTAAGCGTGTTAAGATACAGCAAGTGGTTGACCTTTTTCTTGTTTTCATTAAAGGATCATTTCTAGAGTGCCAAACATTTCTGTCCAGCTCAGTCATGAGCCACCTGCCTTGACGAATGAAATGTACTGTTTGCTTGTGACAATCCAGTCACATGAGAAGACAGTTGCCAAAGACATAAAGCTCACAGCAGGCTTAAAACCAGGTATTCATTGTGTGATGTGATGTATTAGCTGAGAATCCCTGTGGACAGTGATGGTCACATTGTGGAAAGGATTAAATAAGCCCTTTCTTTTGTACAGTTTTAAGACATGACAAGTAAATAGCTAAACAGTTGGAGTTAATGACCAAAGACAAATCAGACTGAAAAATTCAACATCTTACAAATAGGCTTTCTGCTGTTCCAACAACTCCTGAATTATGCCCCACCACCTGCTCTGTAGGGTCCCCTACAGGAGGCTACAAGAAGGGAGGGGGAATTGCCTGCTCTCCATTCTGCTGGTAAAGCAGTTCCATTGGTGGTAGTACTTAGTTGCATGCCACCCAGAGATCTATTTTTAGCACTAAAAAAAGTTCACAGTTTTCTTCATGAATTATTGCTGTCATCACTATTATGGGGTAGTGCTGATTTGTATGTATGCCATCTTTTGAGAGAGAACGTTCATTGTATAGGTTGATATGTTTTTATTTTACTACTTATATGTCAGTCCTTAATTATTAAAAATAAGATTAGATTTTGGTGCATGTGTTCTTTCACTGGTAAAATAGAAAGGGTGGTGAATTTCTCAATGCAAGTCTGATCCCAAAATAATGTTTTGACATTTAAGAACAGTTTCAGAATTGAAGGGAATGGTTTTACTTGATAACAACTTTTTCAGAACCTGGAGTTTCTTTGAAATAGAGAATCAGGCCATCTTGATTTAAAATCGCAAGACTTGCTTCAGCCATGTGCATAATCCTGCAAATGTGTTATTGGAAGATTTTTTAAAATGTTTTGGTTTCCAAGGATGAATGGTATACTTCAGAAGAAATGAAGCTTGCGTGAGCAAAATTTCTGTGTGAACCAATCTGCTACGCAAACCAAATCAATTCAGATTATGACTGTGTTTTGGAAAAGCGAATAATGTAACATCTTATCCATTACTGTGACAGACATAATTATATAATCTACCTAAAATATTTTTTCTTTTGTTGTAGGCCAAGATGCAAACCTAACTCAGAAAACTCATGTGACTCTAAATGCAACAGAAACATGCGATGATTCTTATCCTGCCCTACTTCCTGATATCCCTGTAGGAGACTTGCAACCAGGTGAAAAGGTAAGCATGCATTATATTTTGTCAACATAACAAGTATGAAATTTAAGGATGCATTTATGTTACATATAGATAATGACCCCAATCCAAAAAGAGATTGCACTTAAAATCTCTTTAATTTCATTATGACTTAAGCATAAATAAGATCAGGGCCAGAATGGATGTAAGGCAATACAATGGTAAGCTGTTAATAAATTCATTCTTTTCTCCAAGTATTTATTTGCACATAGTGCAAACTACAACCATATTATTTCCATAGTAAGAGGTGTAACAATTTAGAAGAACAAATGATGGATTAAGTTTGTTCACAGAATTCAGAATAATCAAAAGTGTTTTGGGGTATGATTATACTTTAAAGTAGGACTTCAGAGTTAGTGTACTTAAGATGTTGACTGTTTCATTCTGTCTAACCACTCCTCCTTTTGTTTTTCACTTGCTCTACAGCTGGAAAAACCTATATATATTCATTGTGGAACAGTTGGTACTAGGATGTTTCTTGTATATGTTTCCTACCTAGTGAGTGCAACCATTGAAGGGAAAGAAATTCTCTGCAAGTGTCACAGGGTATGTTGGACTAGTGGAAGCCACTGATTTTCAGTGAAAGATTCTCCTCAGAATGTGTTCTAGCGAGCCTCACTGGTTAAAACAGAAGGCTTTAATGAGTATAAGCAGTTCTTCAGCATGCATAGATAAATTCCATTGAAATTCAGTATGAAATAACCCTAAGTGGCTGTTTTCTAGTGATTGCTTTCCATCCCATCCAGTAATGTGTGAAACAATAAATTTAATCAGAGCAGGCAGATACCACTCGCTCCAAAGTTGCCTGTCTCTAAAGGAAGCAAAGAAAGTTTCTAGGGAGATACTTGTTCTTCATCAGTACTTTTAGATGGAAGTAATCTAGCTTCACTTATTAAGGTCTTCTTCTGTCATACACACTCATTAGGAAGGATACATACAGTCTATGGGAGGAGCTTGCGGCTTTTTCTAGGCTTGCCCTTTATGAATTTTTGTCTTTGCTGCAGTTATAGAAATGGCTTCCTTTTTCTAAATGCAAGAGCTACTGTAAAAGTGTATGGCTTCAAACTGCAATGTATTTATAGTACATATAAATAAAGATAAATAATGCACAGATATGAAGAGCAAAATATAGTAGGAAGGAACCCTGTGTCTCCTTCCATTTTATCTGTGTGTTCCCCATACCTCTCTTCACACCTCTAATTAAGAGTAACATTTCTTCAACATTTATCACATATTGAACCACATTGTACATAGATGAAGTTTAATGGGTCATGAGCTGTACAGACCTGATGTAACATGTTAGGATTGGGATGCTAAATTACTCGCGTGTTAAAATATTTAGCGGGCCAATATGGGACAGCCAGAATAAAATCTATTAATTTTGGAGGCTAATGTGTTATCAAGAATGCAGTCCATCTGGGGTAGCAAAATGCTAGTTCAGATAGGATCAAACTCTTTGAAGATTTGTCACCTGGATGACAGGTCAACACCAAGCAGGAGAGATGGCAGTGGCAGAGGAATTTTAAGACTGTTGTCTGATGTTGATCCCTCAAAATAAAGTGAAAGGCAATTTACGTTTTCATTTGTATGCAGGATGAAACAGTGACCATAGAGACAGTATTTCCTTTTGATGTTGCTGTTAAGTTTGTCTCAACTAAGGTATGTGATGGCAATCTGAAATTACACATAGCTGGATAGACAAAATGAGCAGTAAAATAACCCAGCCTTTGTTCCTCTTCCTGGCAGTTTGAGCATTTAGATAAAGTCTTCGCAGACATACCATTTTTACTGATGACAGACATCCTAAGTGCTTCACCCTGGGCTCTCACTATTGTAACCAGCAAGCTGCAGCTTTCCCCTTCTATGGTACCTGTGGATCAGCTAGAGTCTTATGTGGAGAATGGTGAGACGCTAATGGCATATTCTTAAAGAGCATATTCTTTTGGGATTGCAGTTGTATAGAAACTCATTGAGGGTTAATACATTATATCTAGCAAAGTGGTTGGTATTTTTAATTGGATCATTTACATTTATAACATGCAAGGTTAGCGTAGCCTAAGTCAGGACAGGGGATGGGACCAGATTTTTTAAAAATTAGAATCCCAAGAACAACCAACTGAAGCATAGTGCAAAAGAAATAGAATTACAGAACTCTGAGCGCATGAACTTGTTGTGAGTACCAGAATTGAACACAAATCAGTCTTTCCGTATACAATTTTGCTTATGTTTACCCTAAACGATCTTCATTTCAGTAGTGTAATTTAGGGAAGTGGGGTGGGAGGGATTTGTTGTCACCATTGTTAAACAATTGGTCATCAGAAATCTTTGCAGCTCTTCTGCAAAACACATAAATCTGCTAGTGGATCCCAGTCTACGTTCTGCCCACCATTGGCCAAAGTTTTTAAGAAATATTGGATAGGAGATAAATTCACTTTTCTTTCTGGGTCCTCTCCATCACCAAATAAACATTGTCCACATATTAACAGCAGCAAATCATGGGTTAATTTAGCAAATGCAACCTTTGATCATGCCAGTCAGAAATTGCTACATGACATCTGAACCTGGAGACTGGGGGTACATTTGCACATCACACCAACCCCACCCTGGCAATAATCCACAGTGGGCTGTTTGCTCTGTGATCATCCTACAGTGTGATGGACAGATGATCAGGCTCACTGTGGTGTGTTCATCCTCTCTCATCTTTGTGTTCATCTTTGTTCTCTGCCAGCCCTTCAGTGGGTATCCCAGGAAAGGGACAGCAGAACTAACTTGTCTCCCTTTCCCCATCATAACAGTCCTTTTTTTTTTGAAGAGAAACTTCATTTTAACAACCACTGATAGCCCTGTCAAAGTTCCCAGGCAGTATTTTGCTGTGCACACCGTGTGTGCAAATATGTTTGTTCTATTTCTTGTTTCAGATGTAGACACAATTGTGTAACTGCAGAGATCCACATTTCTGCAAGTGCAGGAATTTGAAGTCTTGGCTGGATCAATCTCCTGGAGGTTACCTTTGGACATTTACCCAAAGAGGCTCCAAATAGGATTTTCTTTTGCTTTCTCTTGTCAAAGCAAAACAAAGGTGCAAGTTGTATTTGTTAACAAAAAGAGCATGATACAATTTATCCCCATGCCGTGGCGAGATCCTCTTTCCCACCTCTACCTCCTACAGTCCGTAGGGTGATGCACTTTCTTTCTTTTTTCCTGAAATTCACTGCTTAGGAAAGTGCCAAAGTGCATCCCATTCCCTTTTCTTTGGAAAAGCAGTGATCCTCATCTGTAGGTAAATTGTGTTTTAAACAACCTATAGGAAACCCACAATTAATCCTTAGTTTCTGAGTTCACATGTCACATAGCAACCTCTAATTGATCTGGTCAATGGCAGATGGCACCCACCACTTGCCACAACTGACTGTAGTTTACTTATTCTGTGATTTGCCACCATTATGTGTAGTTGTATCATCTTGTTGCATTTACCACAAAGTGAAAGTACCTAATTCTATAATGAGGTAATCTTGATTTATTTTCCTCCATCAGGTATGGCTTAGTCTTGGAGAGGCTTGCTGACTTAAAATACTACCTTTTTTATTAAATGCCTGCTGTTCCAGAGTTGATTCCTCTATATGAATTCCACTTCCTTTTTCTTGGTGAACAGTGGAAAATGTTTTGTACAATGTGCTTTTGTCTGCACAATATTTAGCACATTTTACCACACTTGCTTATGTGATTTTAAAGGATAATTTATAAAATAGATGTTCATATTTATTTAGTGTCTGAGTAAGTTTTTTCAATTTTAGACTAAACCTAACTTTTTGCATAGTTGTTTTGCAGACAGGTGAGAGTGCCAGTGAATGTTTTTGCCTTCGTTGTCCCCCAGTTACTGGACAAAGTGGAGTGGCTACTGGAAGTTATGTAATCTCCTGGAAAAGGTAACTATTCCTCTCTATACAGGTAGAGACAGCACCCATGTATTAGTGCTGTATATTTTGTCCTTCCTGCATACCATTCATGCAAAATAAAGTGTATGCTTGGAGGTCTGGTCTTTTTCTTTTTTAGCTAGATTTCATTGCCATTAAAATAGCTGAGGATGACAAGAGGCTATGCAAGACACATCCTCAAGAAGGGATTGCCATATCTTTCAAGAACCCCATCCATTCAAAGCGTGTGAGCATGTTGTTCTAACTAGTTTAGATAAGGCAGGGTGACATTTTTCTTTCCAATGAGAAGTAGACTTTCAACTGGATGAAGGGGTTCATTCTTCCTCTAGCTAGTGGAGACTCTAGCAGTACAGTCTGAGATCTAGGCCCTTGGCAAAATGAATTAGGAATAACTTACATAACATACTGCTGAAAAGCAGAATTGAAAAAGAATGTTGCTCAGAGCAGGATTCTGACTGGAGTTTTCAGTTCACTTTGTGGAACCCATGTTGTACTTTACTAGGGAGTTGAGTTGAATGGGAAATTTTCATCTCATTCTGTCTAATAATTCCCTCCTGATACCCAGAAGCCTTATAAAGACATTTAGTTTGTGTGGCATGGATACAGCTTTCTCTGTTGCCTTTCCTGGCCTGCAAACTTATGTGCCAAAGCCTGCATGGATGTCCTGAATTCTTTTGGATCAAATCTATGTCCTGACTGTCATGTAACCATGAATGCTTCTGTTTTCTTGGCCACTGATGTCAATGTCAATCTTCTCACAAACCCAGTTACTCTATAATGATGCTGAATTGACCAAGAAAGCACAATCCAAAGTGTACAGGCTGAAACCTTTTGGAACTCCATTATTTCTATTATGTAGAAAGGCCTGGCAGAGCTTTGGTGGCAGGGGGACCTTCTGAAATCCAGTAATTTTGTGATTTTATGCAAAATCAAATGGTAGTATAGGGAGCATCTGAATCTATCAGTGTAATTTCTCTTCTAGATCTCACTTATTCTGAAATACCCTTTCTGTATTTTTTTAATATTCAAAAGTTTACATCTGGAATTAAGCCAGGTGCAGGGGGAATACAGTCTCTTTTGAATAGAAAACTCTTAGAAATATTAAAGAAGAAAAACAAAAAGTACTAAGTCAGTCTATTCCCCTGAACAGCTGCCTTCCAGCTGTGTTTTTGTTTCCATGTTTTATCCATTAAGCCTTTCTTCAGGATATTTTCTCTGATTTACTGCAGACAGGATTGTAGAAGTGCTGTCTGTCATGTAGGTCAGGCTGCAAAGGTTGTATACTCCTGCAGGGTCACAGGTGAAGCTAACTTGGGGGCTACAGATGTACACATCCCAGTAATCCTGATCCCTATTACTCTTTGTTTGCTGCTGGCAGTGGTGGGAAGAGGCTGATTTGTCTAAGGAGCTCTCAGAAGGGGTAAAGAGAGTGGTAGATAATTTAATTTAATGGTCAGGGTACCAGGAAGGCCTCAGTATTATTCTTCAGGAGTTAAAGGCTGTGCACCCCAGTGTATTCCACATCTAATTTGTTGAATTTCCTTTAACTTTCCTCCTACCTTTAAAACTGTGAAAATTAGGTAGGCATCTGCTGCTGATTTTTCATAGTGAACCTCATGTTAAAAATACACATCTCTGTGGATTTTTTTAAAGGACCTCGGCTGTGAACAGCAAGCCTGTTAATACTGTGATCACACTTCCTCATGTTATTACAGAAAGTATACCACTCCATGTCAATGCAGGTAATGCTAATATATGTGTGAATGCAAACTCCCAAAATCTTATTCTAATTGAAAAACTGATTCTGGTTTGTTAACATGAAAATGTTGATTTATTAACAGTTTGTAGATAAAGCACACTGAGTGTTTTTTAAAGTCATTTGTTCATTATATAATAAAAGATTCCCATGAGTCACTTACATCAGCCTGTGAAACAGTGAGTGGTCCAGTTAACACGGCAAGCTTCAGGGGCAAAAATGAAAACCCAAGATTTCTGATCCAAGACTGAATCTCTTGAATTATCACTTTGTTTTCAAAACCTAAATGGTTCAAATAGCAAGGTCTTGCTACTTCCTGTATATGTTTACCAATCTGCTTTTTCTGCCAGAACCTCTTTTACTTGTGTAGCTGTGCTTCCAATTTTATATGTTGGTTCTAGAATTCATTTAATCATAAGATTTGTTACAAAAGTCTTGTTCAAGTTGCTGATACTGAAATGGCTTGAAATACTCTGATTTACAGGTTTGTGGATTGGTTTGCTAGGCACTTGACTTCTATTGATTTGTTACCAACATGACATCTTAAATGCATTTCTACTTCAAAAAAAAACCAACCCACTGAAACTGGCCATCCCAGATGCATTTTTAAAAGTATGTTAGATACACCACTTTTCCCTTTCACTTACTCTAATGACTGACATATGAGTGACAGATGGAATTTGCCTTGCAGCCTTTCAACAATGTTCTGAATTTGAAAAGAGAACTAATTATATTTTTCTTAGTGGTACTTCAGGTCACAATGTTTTCATGGTTACTCAAGTGTTTGATCACTTCTCAAAACATTTTATCTTTTTGGTCTCTGAGGCAGATAATCTTAAGTAGTATTAATATATTCTTGCAAAGTTGAAATATGAAATGTCATCCACTGAAGTATGTGTATAAAACTGCTGTTGTCCTTTCCAAAGATCTGCCATCATTTGGTCGCGTCAGAGAATCCTTACCTGTAAAATATCACCTACAGAATAAAACTAATTTAGTTCAAGATGTAGAAGTGTCAGTGGAACCCAGTGATGCTTTCATGTTTTCTGGCCTTAAGCAGGTAAGAGCTGTGACTTGCTTAGACTTTTGAGCCTGTTTTAAATTCTACTGGCATTTACTCTTCTGTCATTACAGTTCTATATTTGTACAACTCACTAAATCAATAAAAAGGGTGGCATCTAAAGGATCTGCTGCTGTGGAACATGGATTGTAGTAAAGTGCAACAAACATCGGTTATTTATGATAAACACTACAGTATAGCTAAATTTGCTGATGGCACCAAATTATTTAGGATAGTTTTTAAAAATGGGATTGTGAAGAGCTCCCAAAAGGATCACTCCAAACTGAGAGAATGGGCAAATGCAGCTCCATGTGAACAAGTGTAAAGTGATAGACTTTGGGACAGAATTTCCCAGCTCCGTGAATATGCTGATGGAATCCAAGCTAGTGGCGATTCATTAGGAAAAAGATCTTGGAATTGAAGTGAGCAGCTTGATTTTTTTAAAAAAAAATCTTGATACACTGTGCAGCTGCTTGGAAAAGGCATAGCCCATGTAGGAATCAGAAATAAAACTGATGTTTGTTTAATTAAATTTCTACACTGCCTATTCGCCAAAATGGCTCTCTGGATGATTATTATGTTATCTCACTGCTATTACGTGAAGTTATTGCGTGACCACACTTGAGCTACTGTGTACAGTTTTGGTCATTGTAGCTCAAAAAGGATATTGAAAGGTTAGAAAAAGTGTAAAAGAGGACAACTAAAATGATCAAGTTGCTGCAGCAGCTCCCCTAGGAGGAATGGTTACAATGACTCGGACTTTTTAGCATAGGAAAATTGTGAGTACGGTGGTTAGGGTGGGGGGTTGGGGGAACATGCAGAAGGACTTCCAAGCTCTTCAAGGTTTTTCCTCCCTTCCTGCTAATACTAGAACCCAGGCTCATCCCATGAGGCTGAATGGTGGGAAATTCAGGACAGATTAAAGGAAATACTTCACACAGCACATACTTCAGCTAAGGAATTTGATACCACAGGACAGCTACCAATTAAATGACTTCAAAAGAGGACTGGACAAAAATCTGGAGGATCGAACTATAATGGCTACTAGTCTTGATGTATAGATGTTACTTTCTGTATTGGAGGCAGTGTGTCCCTGTGCACCCACGGCTGGGAAAAATGGCAGGATAGTGGTATTGCACTTTCTTTTACTTATGAACTTTCTATTGCTCTCTGGTTGCTTGCTTTGTGAACTGAATGCTGAAATAGATGTACCCTTGGTTTGACTCAAACAGCCAGGTACCTTTAGGGAGCCTTGTAATTATTGTAGTTAAGAGGCATCTAGATTAGAGAGGAGGCAAAAAAGAAAAAAAGATCATAGCAATAAGAGAGGAAAGTATGGATTTACCATAGGAAACCACACAATTTACCTGCACTGCCCCAATTAAATGGAAAGAGCTAACGAAGTCTGAAAAACAGTGAATTATGTGACAGTTGACTGAAGGTTGAGAAATTAAATGAGAATAAATAATGGACACATGTGATTAACTGTTTAAAGCAGACTTGAATCAATGCAAACACAGTCAATTTTTAATACAATAATTGTCTAGCTTGTAGTCTGTGTCCAAAATAAGGAAGATCTCTAATTAAAGACTTTGTACTGTATTTTAGATAAGATTGCGAATTCTTCCTGGTACTGAGCAAGAAATGTTATACAACTTCTACCCTCTCATGGCTGGATATCAACAGCTGCCCTCACTCAATATCAATCTGTTACGGTTTCCACACTTCACTAACCAATTGCTTAGAAGGTTTATACCAACTCACATCTTTGTAAAGGTAAAGTATAATCATGGCAGCAAAGCTGCTTACATCTCTTTTAGCATGGATTTCACTCATGGGCTTAGGTTAGATGTTAAGTTAGTGCAATTCTACCTGGAAATTGCAAATTGTAAGAATTGAGACTATAATTTGACTATCAGTCATTAAAGGACGTGCTTGTTGACTGTATTTAATGCTTATTTAATTAAGCTTCTGAGAAGCATTGACTGGGCCATGCATGGTATGACAACCTATTGAGGGAACTGTTGTCTGAACCTGGACCACTTTCTGCAGGTTAGCTGACTTATTTTTGGACAGCAGATCACCTTGGCAACCTATGGCTTGTTCTATGGGTTGTTCAATCCATGACCATGGAATAAAGTAGAATTGGAAGGGGCCAAGAAGGCCATCGGGTCCAATCCTCTTCAGTTCCAGGTCACAAATTTACACCATCTCACTTGGGTGATGGCTTGTTTTTTCTTTCAACCTGGGAGAGCAATTTATTATGACTTGTGGGGAATCGGGTAGAAAGCCATGCAGCAAGAGCTGCAACTCCCCTCCCCTCCCCTCCCCTTTTTGTGGTCTCTCCCTTGCCCCTGCCAGCGCTAGCCATTCCACTGATGCCCAAGTGATCAGTCATTGACCACCTTTTTATTCCCTTCTCAGTGCCATAAATCGCACAATTGTATTCACAGTTATTTATATATTTAGTCACAAGTGCACTTTTAACAGCTGTCTGGCATATACAGTCTTTTCTGATGTATTCCCTATTCAGCTATCAAAGGGACCAGGAAAATGGAGTAGAAAATATATTGAAAAGACAAGTTTGCGTGCAAGTTAATTTGTGTACAGTTGCCAGGAACCAATTACCAAGTTGTCAGTTGAAAAGCATAATTAAAATGGCAGAAATAGGTGCCCCAAAAGAAGGGGTTTGCACTGGAAAATATATAGAAATTTAATGGCAAGGAAATAAATTAAGGGGAAATTTGCACACATGCAGCACTGGAGTAGTTACTGTAGGTGTAAAAAAATTCTCTTCCATTTACTTTCCATGCATTAAATTTACATATCTTTTAGTGGATTTTTTTAGAATTGTCAAAGAGACACAGTAACAGCAGCAGTAAGTGCTCTGAAAAGGAGCCATAAAAAGTGGAATGGGGGAGTTTATATTGCCCCTTTTCAGAACAACTGAAGGGTCAGGCAAAGTTGAGATGATGAAAGGTATTTGGAACTGACAGTTCAGCTTTTCAAAACTCAAGAGAATTACATTGATAAAGGAGAGATAATATCCCCACCTCCTTTTGGTGCAGCTTCTTTGGCTGATTCCTCCTGCTTTCAGTGCTTTTCAACCAGTAACTCGCTGGTTGGTCCCTGGTAACTGTGTGCGAATTAATCTATATGCAGTTTTGCTTTTTATACATTTCATGTATGTTACTTTTTTCAACTTGTTGCTCCCTTTGACAGCTGAAAAATACAAGAAAATTGGCAGGCACGAATATTGGACATACATAAGACTTGAAAGACCAAAAAAAAAAGTATACAAAAATGACAAACATTTTTGGGGGCCAATCTCCCCACTGGAAGAAACAACAACAGAACCCCCAGATTCCGTTGAAAGAAAGGAGAATGGGAAAAAGTGGCTGGAGGACCAAGGGAGAAGGTGTAGAGAACAAATTATAGTGAGCCTAATTATTTGTTGGCCATGCTATGGGTTGTTCCATGAAGAATCCACACTATGTAGTTTTATTTGCAGGGTGGCATAGAATGACATACAGGCATAGCTATTATATTAAGCCCACCTAGTGTTGTTTGATTCCTTCCTGCAAAATGCACTTCAGTGATTCTTACAAAAATAAAAGAAAGATGCCTTCATTCTCTGTTATGTTTTGATACTTTGAAAAGTGATTATCAAAATAGATTTTGAAGATAGAATAAATGTCTTTGGATTATGAATTAACACAATGCTAAATTACATTTGCAAATAACTGAAATTGGAAAGTCACAGTGCTGATAACTTCTTTAGTATTAGCTAAAGTGCATAGGATGATGTAGTTATTTAGCTGCTATAAAGTTGGTGAATGGCTTTTCTCTTCTCCTCTCCCCACCCTACTTTTCATGGCAGGAATTACGCTGGTGGCTAGGAAGAGACCTGTCCAGGCAGAGTTAGTGAAATCCTTGAAAAAAATGTGATGGGCCTTTTGTGAAGTATATAGTAAAAGCCAACTTAATCCCCCCTTCATAGTGAAGAGGCGCTGCATTCTGCTTGACTGCACTGCAGCCAGGAAGGATGGGTGTTTCCCACAAATTCTGACAATCAATATGCCTTGTAGATCAGTCATCTACACTTGCAGCCGGCTAGAGACATAAGCCTGCTGCCCCAGGCAAAGAAACTATATACCTGCCCTGTGTTGTAATCTGTTCTTGGCTAAATATTAAGCCATTTCTAGCAATCTCTGGTAACTCTGCTTTCCTATATTCTTGAAAACTAGATAAGAGTCTTAAAATCTGATGGAGTGCTTCTTGTTCATGTTCAGAAGTTTCCATTTATGATGCAAATGTCTTCCTTCCATAGTAGCAAAGGATTTAGTGTTGTTAGTCCCACAACATGACAGAAATGTTCTTTCCTGTTGGGACAACTTATTAATTGAAACACCTCAGCTTCAGGTGGCATCTAATATATGTTTTTCCTGCCTACCTGTGTGGTACCTACTAGACTCAGTCTGCTGAGGTTTTTTGTTTAGAGTGTTACAGATAAGATTAAAGGCAGATGGTCAGACAAAAAAAGAATATTTGTAGGAGTATGAAAAGTTGCTGTTTGTATTTCTACTAATATATGAATGTAATACCATGATAATCTGCATTTCCCTGGTGTCTTGCAGCCTTAGTCTAATAGTATTTATTCTAATAATCCCTTGGCACATGTTGATTTCAATGGCACATGCTTGCAATTAATTATGGGCAGAACTGTAAGCAATCACTGCAGGGCCTTTAAGTAGAGTTATATTACACTGTGGATCATACTAGAATGGATTTATAATTTTCGGTTGATGTGAATTCCAAACCACACAAAGTATAGATATGTAGATTGAATATAATTGTGCTGTATAATTGCAGCTTAAATGTAATACTACATTTGTTCTCTTTTTCTTCTAAAGCCCCAGGGACGTCAGCCAGATGATGCCTCTATTGCTGCTGCATAACAGAGGATTCATGCACAAGAAAAACAGTTTTGCACAGAATATATAGAACTCTGCGCCTTTTTCAAACTCTAGCTTTGCCCAAACTATGAAAAAGAAAACTTTAAATTGGTAATAATTCCAGGATTCTCTTTATGGACATGATTCTAACCAATAAATACACAGGGAAAAAAATCAGTACTTTTATTGGATGCAATTCTTCTGACTTTCTGAAAGTTAAGGAATTGTTGTTATGTATATGAACTATTTTGGTAAAATGGGTGAGGTTAACTTGGCCAAAACAAAAATTATAGTAATTCTAGCTTCAGTATTGTTGTGTTTTGGTGCGGTGCCTAAGGCTTTTGTTGCAAACGCTGATCCCCCACCACCCAACCTCAAATTTTATAGTATTGAATTCTTTCTTACGGAATCTTGTTTTTGTGCCACTCTACATTCCATGTAAAAACAGGACCTGTTCATATTCTTATTATCTTAGAAGGCTTCAGCTACTTAGCACATGATGGATAATTCCAGGTGTTGCATGAACAAAAGTGTCATTTTGTAGTAATGCAAAATGTTAATGCTTGAGACATGCTGGATACTAAGTACTGCAGTGCTAGCTACTGTGAAGCTGCTTTTGAGGACTTTACTCATGCAAAGCAAAGAAACATACTACTGGTGGCTTACATATGAAAGAAGGATCCCACAGCACTTTGAAACTAAAGGTTTCTCAGAGGAACTTAAAGTTGGAAGGAATACCACTCACCCTTGTAGAACTATCATATAAAGCCACACTTTGGTAGGCCTTTTTTGGATAAGCTGAATCTTTTGATTAGAATTATGAAATTGTATACTTATTTTATTTTGTTGTGTTTTGTCTACAAACTGGAAACCCTCTTATGGAAAAGGCCACTCCACTGCACTAGTATATCCAATTATAAAACTTTTATCTAGTCAAGCCATCTCCTTCTTATCAGGGTAATTCTGCATGTACAATGTCAGTTCATTAGTTAAATCCATTCTATCAATGTTCATGTGAAATGGTTTTTAGAATATTCACAGTAAATCATGTAAATAAAATCTGTTTTGTGAGATTTTCTCATTGTTTAACCAATAAATTAATTTAAGCTTTGGTTTTTGGATTGCCAGACTTTCTCATTATGGATTTAAAGGAAGGTAAGAGCTGGTGTACTGTAGTGGCTAACAGAGTGAGCTTGAAAATCCCCTTACCAAAAAACTGGAGGGGTTCACTGGAATGCTACATAGAGTAGATGGGCTGTCGTCATAGTTCTTGGTCAAGATTGCATTGGGGCTGTTGTAGAAGAATTGCAATGTGGTGCCTTAGTACTGCTGCTGCCAGTCTTCTGCCATTTGTCCCATCTTCAGGTATATTCACCAGGGCCCACTGATACTGGAAGAAAGATGGAGGCTTTTTTCTCAAGATCCATCAGAACCTGGATCTGGTCTCTGGAGGCCTGCTACTTTCAAGCATGTTGTGGGACCCACCCAGAAATGACTGGAGGTGTCTGGTGCAGGAAGGCTTTTCCCCTGCTTTGGTGGCATCTTGTGAACCTCTCATGTTGTATCCGGAGATAACCATGAGGGGAGCACTGTTTGTACCAGACTTTGGTGTGCTATTTCTGTCCTTGGATATTGAGTCCTTGGGCTTGCTGTATCTGAAAATGGAAAGCAATTCAGTAAAGAAATACTATCCTCCCTCTAGCTTTGGAGGCCAGTTGGATGGGAGGGAGGTGTCTAGCATGTTTCCTTACTCTACAGATTCCCTTAATACAGCCAAGAAATTATCTGCCTCATTTACAGTTCAGTAGGGACCAACTCTTGTTCTTGCAGTTCAGCTGAGGCTGAGCAAGAGTTGAACTGCAACTTCCATAAGCTTGATATTCTTCGTGGGTTGGAAAAGATGGAAGTTGCAGTTCAACATCTGAAGGACATCAGGTTGAGGAGGTCTGGTTTATTGTGATGAATTTCTATGAACACGATCAAGATTGTAAACCATTGCTACCATACAGAAGTGCTATTGAGAATATTCAATTTTTCCTAAAGAAGGGCTGTGGAACATGGAAGTTCAAATCCCACATGGTTTATGTACATGTGCATTTAACATAAATTAAAAGGATCTTTTTCACAAAAGACTGACCAGAAATTCCTAATGGATTTTGTTGTTACAGGATTGAAAAACTTATTCTTGCTACTTTCATTTGGTTGTTTCTAAGGACTTCTTATCACTTTGAAATAAACTACCAATCCAAAACTCACCCTGGAACACTTTCCCAAGCCCCACCCTGAACTTAAAGCTATTTGACAACTACCACCCAGTTTTGAAAACCCCTTTTTCTTAGGGAGGTTACCTGAGGGGGTCATCATGGCAGAACAACAGCAGGTACCTCTTGGAGGACACTGATTATCTACAGCCATTCCAATCTGAATTTCAGCCTGGTTACAGGACTGAATCAGCCTTGAACACCTTGATAGATGACTTTTATCAGGAGAGGGAAAAAAGGAGTGTGTTCATGTTGATGCTGCTTAGTCTCTCATCAGCTTTTGATGCTATCAACCATGGTATCCTCCTGGATTGGCTCCATGGACTGGGCATTGAAGGCAGTGTGGAGCAGTAGTTCCTGTCTTAGATGTGGCATGTTTTGGACAGTAACATTTGATGACCCTTGGCAATTGAATAATTGAGTTTTGCCTGGAGTGGTAACTAGGGGATTTGGAGCCAATTGCCATCAGAATGTGGATGAAACAGACCTCTGCCCTCCTGTGACAACTGACTCAGCTGAGGCTGAGCAAGTCCTGGCAAGATAGGGGCACTTGAGTGAGGCCTGAGTCCAGGAGAAAGGCTCATTGCCTGGATGGGGTGGCACTCCCTTTGAAAGATCAGACTTGTAGCCTGGGGGAACTCCTAGATCCACCTCTGATGCTGGGATCCACCACTGTTGTTGGAATCCCAACAGCTTTGATTGGTCTGCCCGCCTCAGCCTTTTCTGGACAGGTATAGCTTGGCCACCATGCTATTGGCACTAGTAACCTCAAGACTGGAGTGCTGCAATGTGCTCTGTGTGGTGCTTCCCTTAAGGCAGGTCTAGAAGCTGACTGCTTATTCAGTACCAATCTATGTTTAAGGTTTTGGTACTAGGGTATAAAGCGGACAACTGAGGACCCGGCACCCTTCTTCCTTACCAACCTGCCGGGCCATCAGATGTCGTGCTTTTGATGATTTAGCACAGACATAAGGCCCAATTGAAGTCTGCCTCGAGAAGAGCTTTGTGCAGTAGCTCCATCTCTTGGGAACTCCCTTCCTTTGCATGGTAGGCAGTGCCTGCTGAAGTCATTTTTATTTCAACAAGCCTTCTCTGATGGACCAGCAGTTAAAAAAAACAAAACTCAATACTGTGTTTTATTATTTTCATATGATTATTCACCACTCCAGACTCTATTTTGGTAGTATACAAGTGTTCTAAATAAATCAATACTATATGGAAGGTTTTTCCTCAGTGTTGTGTCCACATGGCTTTGTTCAGCAGCTGGACATAAGTAGTTTAGTTGTAGGACAGAAGAAAAGCACTGGGACCAGTTACATTAGGAATCTGGGACCAGTTGGATCCCACTCTCTTTTTACCGTGAACAAAGCATTACCCAGATCAGTCAAGCCCCAAATTATCAGGGCTGTCTGGATATCTACCAAGCAACAACTTGAAGCTAGTCTTCATTTTAAACATCAGAATGAATCTTAATTGCAGAGACTCCATGTACCACCCTCTCCACTGAAACCTAAGGGAATATCTCAGCCAGCTTTCTTCAAGCACAGTCATCATCCTCAGGCAGCATAGGGTGACCTCTAGAGGGGACACGGTCAGGGAAGGCTGTTCCATGCCCTTGAGAATAGCTCAAGTAAAAACAGACAAACAAGAAAAGTAGGAAAAGCAGCAATGCTCACCTCCAACTTTCCTCAGATATAAACCTAACCTGAGATAGTTTTCCTGGGGTACCTGGGCAAGCCCTGGCAGCGGAACTGGCAAGCAAGCTCCTAAACAGGGAGAGACAGTCTGCAGGGCTCAGCAGTTAATTCTCATCTACTCTTCCTCCTTTCCTCAGTTTGCAAAAGGTTCACATCCTGATGTTGATCGGCACAACAGTACTCAAGTTCTGAAAGTGCCAAGTTGGCACAAGCCTCTTGCCCTAAGGAGCTGTAAGGCATTTTCAATCTACGTAATTTACACTGTTAATTTAGTTTCAACCCAGATGTACTCTGGTACCACTTGCATTTTAAGAAGGAAGAAAACATAGGATTCCCTTCCCACCGCCCCAAAGTTCCCGTTTTGTTTTAAGCGGAAAAGATGAGAAATGCAAATGGTAGTGGGAGAGAAGAAAGAAGGTATTTTGGCTGACGTTATAATCCTAACGTTTCTGCATCTTGGGAGCCACCCAGTGTATAAAAATCATATTGGAATAGCTTCAGTCAATGCTGAACTATGATGCCAGCTAATTATCCTTGTAACCATACAAATGAGGACTCTAATCCTCATCTGCTTGAACAGTAATAATCTAATTGCATGCATGCGCGTGTGCATGACACACTATATATATATATATATATATATATATATATATAGCATGCACATGCAGTGGCATGACAATTTTTACTTCACAGGAGCTTTGATGCATTCTTCACTTAACAGTAATTAATTTTTGTCTATGATGGTAGCAAATATGAGTTAAAAGGCAAGACAGTTTTTCAGTAAAAGTTTGGGAACTGATCTGGTTCCCTTGATCAGAATAAACCTCTGTGGCTTATTTAATCAAGCTAATGGTCCGAGGCATGTGCTGCCAATTCATACAAACCAGAATGACCCATTGCAGCTAAGGTGACTTGTTTAAATTGGTGGCATGTGCTGAGCACCATTAACTTAATTACCCACCCTGGTATGGCTTGTTGTGTCTTCAGAATCGAAATGGGATGGTTTGTTCGAGGGAAAATGTTTTAATAAATAAATAAATAAATAAACCATTCAACTAGCCTTTTGCAGGTTTATCTGAGGATTCTCCCTCCAACAAGTCATGCCACCTGAGTTTGAATGACACAAACCACACCCAGGTGGGTAATTAAGATAATAGTTCTCAGTATACCTACTCTCCTTGTTTGGCCATGCAAATTGGTTGGGCTTTGGATACTATGCACTTTGAAAAAATTGGAACATGAAAGCTTCAAAAAAGGGAATGCTGTTTGCTTGAGTTTTTTCATGGGCAATTCATTATTTTCTGCATATGGCACCATTTGCCCGCTAAAGAAAAAGAAGTATTAGCCGTGAGAATAATATGCTGTCTCTCTGTGTGACAGATATTCTTCCCACCCCAGATAGAAATCCTTTAGACAAATTACGCCCAATTATATTTTCATTTTCTTTGTTCTTAACATTTTCCTTCCCACATGCATGCTTAAATTAATTCAAACTAGTTTCAACAGGAGTAGTCATTAAAAGTTCTACATTATCTGTTCCTCAATCCATAACATTCAGCAAACAAACATTTGAGAATGCTACACCTATTTGAAAAACATGTTTTCAGAGACATGCAGGGAAGAATAAAGGGAAAGCACAGAATGAAGAATCAAGGTATTACTGCAACTTCCACTGTTAATGTAGAACATGGTCACCATAATCCATGACTTTAGAGCTGCTGTTAATATCAGCATCTGGAAAGAAGGATGGCAACAAAACAAGAGACCATGACTGATACATGGAAGCACTGAGGGAGAGGTATTGGGGTGTCTGATTCACAAGAAGCACTTTTAAAACATTGAGTTAAATTGCACTTTATCAAAGGATCTGTTCTGGTGTCTCAAGCATAATGTATCAAGGGCATTAACCTTGGCTGTAATTTACTTCTGGCAGCATTATTTATCATTGGAAAATAGCCTCTACTAGAGCTAATTTTGGCTTCTAATACTACTGATGTTGGCTCCTGGCCAGTTTGTGGGGGTGTAATCCCAAGTTTAGTCTTGTGTCCTTCACTGAGAAGGCCAGATGCTTAGGAAACTAGCTCTTTGTTGAGAATGCAAATTCTTGGCTACGGATCATGTGAAGAAAACCCAGAAGTGGTTCAGTGGTTAGAG